ACAACCAGTGAGAATCACACCAGTCCAACAACAAATTCGACTCTCTACCTACTTACCTTGGCATTAACCAAATTTATGGTCTCTTATCGAGTGCCTCCTTTCGATTCCTCCACTCCACAATCGTGACAGACTCCACGGTTGACCCTCTCTTTGTCAATCACTCCGACGAAAATCGATTCCCCACGATACGCCAATCACTCCCACGATTTCCTTAAATCAGCGAGCCATCCCCGCATCATTCCGGCTCCATCCACTACCGGCCCATCTCGACATTTCCTCCCCACTTTTCCTTCCTCTTCTTCTCCTAGCTCTTCCGTCACCATCTCCTCTCCTCATGGCATCCTTCGCCTTCAGGGGTCGCTCCACTTGTGTGGTGCTTTGTGTGGTGGTCAGAAGAAGCTTTCAGTCCAGGTTCAGGTTTCAATCCTGACCTAGACTTCACATCTCCTTCTGGGTCATGCTCAGCTCAAGCGTTGTGAGGCTCTCCCCCAGTCCATCCGGACTGAGAGATAGCCAACAACCAACCACTTGACCATGGATGATGAGCAGCAGAAGGAGAAGGCGACCGAGGGCAATCCCGAAGGGATTGTCCGGCAGAGACTAACTCCAGTCATAGTGAAGCACCAGTAGCAGAGCAAATGAGGGTCCACAACCTTAAAGCCAGCATGACCGGCAGGTAACTGTAGGTGGTGCCTGCTCACCCAGCATTGGCATTGGATGAGCTGGCACCAACAAGATAACAAGCACCAAGTGCTTATTCTCTTGTCTTTGTACACCAACAACAGTTGATGTACAAAGCCTTCGTTTTCCTGCATCCCAACACCCGCCCACCCGGTGGTCAGAAGAAGCTTTCAGTCCAGGTTCAGGTTTCAATCCTGACCTAGACTTCACATCTCCTTCTGGGTCATGCTCAGCTCAAGCGTTGTGAGGCTCTCCCCCAGTCCATCCGGACTGAGAGATAGCCAACAACCAACCACTTGACTATGGATGATGAGCAGCAGAAGGAGAAGGCGACCGAGGGCAATCCCGAAGGGATTGACCTCGGCAGTCTTGCTGCCAGAGCCCTCAACCCCTTTAATTGTTTTTCCTGCTACGGTGGTCCCTGCAGGTATAAGGGTAGGGCTAGAATAGAAATAAGTCAGCAAAAACTTTTAAAATAAGTATCCTAGTAGGATGGTGCTTTTAAACCAGCTAAAGCTATTTACATGCATCCTAGTAGGGGGATCTGCTTCTACCAGGAAAAACTCTAACGCCAGCGAATGCTATATGACTAGTATTCTAGCTAGCTAGGGGTATCTGCTTCTAGCTTGCTATGGAAATCTGTGTCTAGCTAGGGGGAATCTGCTTCTAGCTAGCTAAGTGCAAGTTAAGCATTAGCTAAGCACTAGAGGTATCTGCTTCTAGCTAGCTAAATAGGGTATCTGCTTCTACACTGAAACCTTCCTGCCGAGGTTACACAGCTCCGCTGGCTTAATTAAAAGGGGGGTTTAGAGTAGGGAAATTTTTTTTGCACGCAACAAGAGGACTTCGCCCTTTTCCAATGGTGAGACCAAACTATTCTCACAAAACGAAGAAAGCCTTTGCTCGAGAACTCGCATCACCATGTCCTCGAATCAACGCTACGGAGAAGAGTTCCAGCAGCTCTCGTACCAGGACCTTCGCAGCGAATGCCGAAAGCGAAACCTATGCGCGATTGGGACATCGGACGCGATGCGTCGTCGGCTCACCGAGTTTGTCGCTCAGCAAAAGCGAATTCGCCAATGGTCGACTACCATTTCCATTCAAGACGAAAGTAATGAAAATGAAAATGTAATTGTCCTCCGCGACGACGACGACGACGGCGGCGGCGGCGGCGGCAACGAAAACAAGAAGCAACTCGGAGGCGAAGAGGAGGAAGACATGGACGACGAACCTCCCAGGAAGCGACCCAAGAAATCTCCAGCCGACGACCTACTAGTAAGTAAACGTGTCACACTCGTCGTGACGCCAGCATCATGACACATGTGTCTCACATGGCGCATTTCCCTACGTCTCCCAGTGCCCAATCACACTCGGGCTCCCGTTCGAGCCCGTCATTGCCGAAGATGGTCGTGTGTACGAACAGGATGCGATTGAGATGCACTGCAAAGTGGCTCGCGAATCTCATGGTGTGGTGAAGTCTCCTATCACCAATCAAGTCATCGGATCTCGTCTCTTGCCGGCGCCGCAAATCAAGAATCTCATCGAAACGTTGATTGAAAATGAAATGATTCAAGGCGAACTGGTTGCTGAATGGAAGAAGAGAGCCCAACTTGAAAAGGAGAAGCAGGGGCTGCTCCTTGAAGCCCAAACGGACAGCGAGGCGATGTACAAAATTGGTTGTTTGTACGCGAGAGGTGAGAACGGATTCAAGAAGGACGCAAAGGAAGCGCACACTTGGTTTCAAAAGGGACATGCTGCCGGGAACGTCAAAGCAACCGCGAGTCTCGGTGAAAATTTGCTATCGGGAAATGGCGCTCCGCGCCACACCGCTCAAGGCATGATCTATATTTCCTTGGCCGCGTGTCGCGGCTCCGACTTGGCTGCGTACCATCTTGGCATGGCTTTGGCACATGGGCTGCACGGCCTGTCGATGGACGAGGGCGAAGGAGTCCGTTGGCTTCGAAAGTGCTTGCTGGTTTGTTCGCACAGCCATTTGGACCAGGGTTTGCGAGACTTCGCCGAGGCTGTACTAGAAGAACTCAAAGATGACGACGACGACGGTAGCGATGACGACGAGGACGACGAGGAGGAGTAGAAAGTGCCATACGATGTACGTACCGGTACTACCGTACAGCTCGTACCAGAAAGGAGAGTGACAAGTCACTCTCATCATCAAGTTGTGTTGGAGCGCACCAATACCGGTACGACTGTATCGTACAGTAATCCATCTGGGAAAGAAACAGTACGTAAGGGTACGGTACCGGTACATGTATCCCCAGAGGAAAAATCCCATGCAACAGCCCGAAGGAGCTTTGGAGCAAATACCACCATGAATTATAAACTATCGTGTACGCTATTCAAAAAACTGTGAGCCGTTCTACATACTTGTACCGTACCAGTGTACATGTTTGATCCAGCGGAACCTTGTATGGTAATAGTGCTTCTGCGTTTTGCCAGCAAGCTTTCGTTCGATGGGTTTTTCACGATTTGGTTGGCGATACGGCCACTTATGATCCTGGACAAAGTACGGTATGTTCGAATGAATCGAAGTCTCCACCTACTCTCTAAACCCCCGTCGTTTGGTTATCGAAGCCACTTGATCATGGACAAAGTATGGTCGTTTGAATGGAATCTTCAATCGAAGCCTCCGCCTATGTACCGGTACCACTCTAAACCACTGCAATTCGATCGATTGATCATGCTTTCTCGCCAATACCAGCGACAAGGCATATTTTACCGTGTCCAAGCCAAATCATGAACTCTATTTAACTGCGACGGCTAGCTACCGGTGGCGGGTTCACCGGTTGACGCAAAAAAGTGAAGTGACTTACAATTTACTGGGCAAGGCTCGATCCAGCACCCACCGGAGACGCAGAAGACCCATGACCCATCGGCATGTTCGAACTCAAAACAATAACACAACACACAAAATCACAACTCTTTGATTATACAGCCAACAACATTATGTCCACTTTGATCCACCAACTCCATGGTGTTGCTGTGCGAAAACAGAATGACACCTTTGCTACTTGGCACGAGATTAATGGTGCTGTCGGGAAACAATACACATTTGGAGAGCTTTGGGCAGAAGCCGGAGCAATTGCATACAATCTACACCATGTGTGGGGGGTCAAGAAAGGAGACAAGGTGGTCTTGTGCTATGACTTTGGGCTGCACTTTTTTGCTGCCTTCCTTGGTTGTTTGAGGGCTGGGGTTGTGGCCATTCTGGTCTATCCTCCATTCCCACCTCTCACCAAGACACTCACAAAGATGGAGAAAGTCATCAAAGACTGCCAGCCTGTGCTGATTTTGACTGACATAACAATAATGGCATTGAAGAAAGTGGATGAGCTAAAACCATTCTCAAAGAGCAAGGGAATGTGGCCTAAGGGCATCGCCTTCAAGGTCACAAATGGCATACACTTTCTCCCAAAAATGAAATCATTTGATCAGGAAGACATTCTTGAGTCAGATATTGCATTCTACCAATACACATCGTAAGTACCATATGACTCTTCTATCATTCTCATGCTGGGCAGCAACTATAACAAAGAATTCTCCATAATGATTGAAGGGGGAGCACTGGTGATCCAAAGGGAGTTTTGGTGACATTTAAGGCATTGGAGGCCAATGTAAAGATTAACCATGATGGCATTAGCCAGAAGCTCACAGAAGATGGATTGGATGCAGACAAAGTTGTTGGCTTCTCTTGGCTACCACAGGTATGCCTCCTCTCTTTATTCCCCAGTGATACCAATGACTTGGTCAGCTCACAACCATAACTTTTCCGACTCTTTAACTACCAACAGTACCATGACTTTGGATTGATCTTTGCCTCCATAGTCCCTTTTGCTGAAGGGTGGAGGATGCACATGATGTCCCCCATTTCATTCATCAAGAAACCCTTGCTTTGGTTGGACCTCATGTCAAACCATAATGTTACATTTGGTGTGGCCCCTGACTTTGCCTATCACTTGGTAGCCAGAAAGTTTAAGGAGGAGATGTCAAAAGCAGGTGGAAAATGTCCAATTCCAAACCTTGATCTTTCTTCAGTCAAGTACCTACAGAATGGGGCTGAGCCAATAAGGCTGGACACTCAAGAAGCAATTAGTTCCACATTCTCTGACTTTGGATTAAGGAAAGCATGGTTCTGCAGTGGATATGGTTTGGCAGAAAATGTTGTCACTGTGTCCTGGCTGAATGAATACCACCTGTCCACCCAACGACAAGGGGACACAAAAAGCTTTGTAGCAGTGGGGTCTGCTGAAACATTCCATTCAGCCATGGACATCAAAATTGTTGACCCTGTCAGTCAACAGGAAAATCCTGAAAACAAAACTGGAGAGATTTGGCTTTCTGGACCATCTGTTGCTGCTGGATATCATGGAAAACCAGAACTGTCCAGTGAGGTCTTCCAAGCCAAGCTTCTCTCTCGAGATTCTGCCACTGATCAGGACGATAGTACCACCACCTTCCTTCGAACAGGGGACCTGGGCTTTATGCAAGATGGGTACTTGTATGTTTGTGGCAGGATCAAAGACTTGCTCATTATCAATGGTGTCAACTACTATCCCCAAGATATTGAGCTTGCTGTTCAATCCTGCAATGGTGTCAGGCCAGGGTGTGTGGCAGCCTTCTCTTCTGATGACTCTGGTGAAGGTGATGGACAGCTTGAAGTTGTCTTTGAGATTAGGAATGCAAACAAGATGACTGCACAGGCTGTTTGTGAGGCAATCAAATCTGCGATCATTCAGGATATTGGTATTGTTCCTTCCAAGATTGTGGCATTGGAAGAAAGAAGCATAGCCAAGACAACCAGTGGCAAGATACAGAGAAGGAGAAACAGAGACCTGCTCCATGTAAATCAACACAAAGCTGTGTTTGTGCTGGATCAGTCATCGAAGTTGGCAGGTGAGGGTAATGGACACCAGAAAATTGGCCACAATCTCCCTCCTGCAGAGAAGTTTGATGCCATCATGACTTCACTCCTGGGATCTGACTATGATCCAAATTCTGGATGGGATGAAAATGGCCTCACTTCCCTCATCTTGATGGAGCTCAACAACAAGCTAGCCGAATCTTTTCCAGCCACCATCCCCAGTGACTTTCCTGACCAATGATATCCAACCCCAGCTGCACTCAAAGAGTACATCCTCAGCCCAAATCATGGATCGTTCTTCCCTGTCGAAGCACCAAGCTTTGACACCTCCGCTACAAGACTTCCCTGCCTTTAATCACTCTTTTGCAGGGGGTTGGCATTTCTGTTCTCTTTTTGATGCTATCTGTAAGCACAGTCCCTTCTTTTTGGTGCTACAAGCTCATCATCTATGATGGAGCACCACCTTCTCTGGGGATATTTCTTCCGCTAGTCTTCTTGCTTTGGCACATCACCTTCACCCTCTTGGTTTGCCTCTCAAAGTGGATTGTAATTGGCAAGTACACTGCCAGAGAGGTTCCAGTGGCATCCATATACTATGTCAGATGGTGGTTTGTTGACAGGGCAGTGCACCTGTGGGAGATGTTGATTGGCAGGTATGTCATGGGCACTCCATGGCAATGGCTGTTCTATTCGATGATGGGCTGCAAGGTCCACTCCTCTGTCAAGTTGGATTGCTTCCTTCGAGAGTTTGATCTCTTGGACATTGGTGAAAATACTGAAATCAGTTTTGGAATCAAATGCAGAAAGTTTGGTCCCTGGTGCGAGTCTGGGCCACATGCTGGGTCTCCCACATTGAGGTTCAGACAAATCAGAGTGGGGCATGGCTGTGTGGTTGAAGGACAAGTAGGTCCTGGTGTGGTACTTGGTGATGGCAGCAAAGTGGAGAAGCTAGCTGCGGTCCCAGAGGGTTCCCAGGTCCCAGCTGCTGCCATTGCAAGAGGAAGTCCTGCTCACCAGAGTGGCATGTCACAGCCCAAAAAGAAAACTGAGCATGAAAAGCAGGGTATGGCTGTGTTAAGAGTTGCCAAAATTGTTGGGCCCCTCATGGAACTCTACTTGACCTTTGTCATTGCTGGGTCTGCTGGGTGGGCCATCACGATTGGACTCTCTGAGTTGGAGTGGCGCTATTCTACCCTGTTGAAGGCGTTCCTCATCATTGTCCTTGCAGGTATTGGAAACTTACTGGTCTGCATTCCCATGAAATGGATTCTGATTGGACACCGAAAACCAGGTCCAGTAACCGACAACTCCATCTTCCAAGAGTCGATTGATTGGATGGTTGACTACCACTTTTACACCAGCATTCTTCTTTTGGACCTAGTGGCCAATAATGCAGTGATAGTGAATGCAATGCTGTGGTTGCTGGGCTTGGATATTGACATGGAATCCAAGGTTTGGACTGAATACTTTCCTCCTTCCAAGGTTGATTTAATCACTGTCACAAAGTCATCGCTATCTGTTGCACATTTTGATGTTAAGCAAAATGGAGAGTACAGAAAGGTCCACATTGAAAACTCCAGCATTGGGCACAGTGTCACTATTGATGGTGGTGTAACCATTGACTCTGCCCAGGTCAACCCAATGACACATGTGACAGCCAACATCCATGATGCTTTGACTTCAAAGGGAACAAGATTGCCGCTATCAAAAAGATTGGTGGTTGACCTTGCCACACCTTTGATAGCCACAGTGCTCTTCTTCTCCATCATCCCAACTTACGAGTTCTTCCAAGTAGACTTCTTTGTTCCCTTGGTTGGATTTCCAGTTGTGAAAATGGCTTTGGCACTTGCAGTTTTCTGTTTCTCTTGGTTCTTTCTCCTCATACTGCTCCATTGGGTCACATATCCAAGTCATTACTTTTTTGGAGCTCGAGGACAAACTAAGCCCTGGTCTCTGGCTATGTTTGCAATTTACATGGACTTGCACTGCTACCTCTGGGACTTCTCCCTTCTTCCAATCTTCTGGGGCACACCCTTCTTCAACTGGTTCCTTAGAGGCATGGGATGTAATGTAGAGGGCCAAGCTTTCTTCTTTGGCATTCGCCTCTATGACTTTCCCTTGATGACAATCAAGGACAAGACCATCATTGATTCATGTATTGTTTCTGGGCATTCTTGGGTCTTTGATGGTGTTTACATTGGACCAACAACTGTTGCTGGAGTGCTACATGAGGGAAGCTTCTGTTTAGCCAACACATACTTGTTGGATTCAAGCAAAGAGACTCACCCAATGCAGTTTGTGCCCCCCAGATCGATTGGGGAGGAAGGGAAACACACCGAGCTGTGATGTTTTGCTTGTGCCAGTTACATAACGACTTTACTTTATATTTTTACCAAAAAATCGTGATTGTGGCCTTCTGTCTTAAGTGTTCTTGTGTGCTTGGTCGTTCTGGGAGTCGCGTGGACTCAGCGGCAACACCACTACTAGTGGACCTTGAATTCAGCGTCGAAAGAGGCCGAACATGAGTTCTTTTTCGTGTCGCTGGAGACTTGTTGCCACCGTTCGAACTGTTGCCGTCGCGTCGCCGCCGTTCGTGCTGCCATGGTCGCATAGTTAGTCTCCTCTGAGCACGAATAGTGCGTCTGACTGCGGCTCGAACGCTTGATCTTCTCCACACTTGTGCCCTTGACAAACAAGACGATGGCTAGCGCGCACTATCTTGAGTGCCTTGTTTGTCGCCGGAGGCGACAACAGTTGCCGTGGTCTATATGGTCTCGTCTCTGCCTAGTTCAGTACGTGGCGTGCCAATGCGTCGCCTTGAAGAACTTGCACTCGGTGTGTTCAATATTGGTCCTGCCGCATGGAGATGAACGAAGGGGGGAAACTGAACTTCTAATAACGGATTCAGACAAGATGTGCTTGAGGACGACCCACGAGCCGAGGCCCGGGTATTTCCCGCAGTCAAGTCGGCTCACCAGCCACACTGGCCTCCTGAGAGGGTGCGACGCCTGTTAGCTATCTAAGGATTTGTACACTGAGGTCAGAGCCATAATTCACCACAAATCACGGGCTCTTTGTTGAAGAGAGTTGGTGTTGGTAAAGAAGTTTGAATGGGGTAGGAGGGGTAAGGAAAATGTCCGACTATCCTGTTTCCAGGGCTGTGGTGTAGTGACTCTCTTGTAACACAGGTTCCCATGTGTTCAAAAATTGAATGATGACTTGTGTATTCAGTTGCATGCGCGATTCGAGTGGTATCAAATGTTCATGTTTGGACTGCTGGATGTTCGTAGAACTGAGTGAGTTGTCGAACTGCTTGTGCTTTCTTTGCTGTGACTTGGTTCTCATGTCGTCCCTTCTGTCTTTGTGTCGAGCAGCAGCACGTCTGGAGCGTCCCTCAATCATGGATTTTGAGTAGTCGTGGATGACGTCAGTCGTGAATATCGAATGACGTCATTTTCGAAAGATGATTCGTGAATGAAATCCGCCCCTAAATTAGGGGCGGGTTTCAAATCTGCCCCTAAACCGTTAGGGGCGTATTCTCCTAACCCGCCCCTAATTTTAGGGGCGTTTCTGAATTAGGGGTAGGTTTGAAAAACGCCCCTATTTTTAGGGGCGTGTTTCGCGAAAACGCCCCTATATCACAAAATCTACCCCTAAATTAGGGGCAGATTTAGGGGTAGATTTCAGTTAGGGGCAGATTTGAAACCCGCCCCTAAATTTTGAAACCGGGTCCAAACCCTATTTCTACGGGTGTCACATGTACAATCCCTACGGAGAGGGTCAATGACCTCCATTTGTCTCTTCGAGAGTACTGGTATGGTGTTCTGCTGCCGATGGTCTCCTCGTCCCCTCTCCAGTGTGTCTTGCCATCTCGTACTACACTACAAGCAGCCCATTATGGACGACCAGGATGAAGTCGATGACAGAGACGATGTGGAAGAAGGCCCCTCAAAGGACGAATGGAATGCAGTCAGAAAGCAATTGAAGGATGACGTGCTGTCAGGTGTTATTCCACACGTGCTAAAAGAAATGCGCCCAGCCGCTGTCTATCAGATGTATGCGGACGCAGCAAATCCCATTATTGCGTGTGTAGACTATACCAACAAACGACAAAATGCGAAGTTCACTCTAATGCTTCGAACTCTTCGCAACAAGCATGCAGATGGTGATCTTGTAAATGAAGACAAAGCCGAGCCAATCGTATGGCGCAAGTCAGCAGCCAAACAGTTCCTCAAAAGGGCATTCCGGGAAGGCCTCATTCCAGACAATATTTCCACAAACGAAGATATGGAGGAAATTTGGAATGACCTTTGCTGCGTTTGCGAGATTGGAGTTTGATGCTGCTTTCATTCGTAGACTCGAAGGGGTGAGAGATGACTATCAAAAAAAAATGGTGAGGCGTGACAATGATCTAGCCGCCTACTTCACAGCAAAACAGAACCATCCAACACCAGAATTCAACAGTCGTGGGGAGCCACAGTGGAATGGGTCTCAAGCCCAGAAAGACTTGAAAGTGCTTGTTGCTGGTGGAGACCACAAGGGGAAAAAACCAAAAGAGCTCTGGGAGAATTCTCAGGCATATCAGGTGTACCCCCTTGCTATTTTCAGAGACCACATCTACCAGGAAGAGAGGCTGCTGAAATTTGATAACTACACTGCAGCGATGAAGCAGAAAAAAATTGATAAGTTGCAGTACTAGCCTATCAGCACGTCGATCAGACATTTAGGTTTAAATAATGACGAGCTAGCTAATAGTGGAAAACAAATTCTAGTTTACGGTGCTAAATATCAAAGAGAGGCTCGCCCTTTTCCATTTTGTACTGGACAAGGACGTTCACAGCCTCGAAGCACATTTGGAGCTTCTCGGCCACTGTAGCTGTCGTTTGGGTTGTTCTTGCAGCGGAAACGCTCGCTGAGAACTTCAAATTTCTTCAGCTTACCATTGTAAATCTCATGACGTTGGTGGGCCCGTGTCTTGAATTCTTTGACTTCCTCAGGATCTAATGTGTTCTGAGTGCTCATTTCATTTGGGAAACCGCGGTAGCCCTCATCACCGATGGTCTTCTTACCGGATGACCTAAGTTTTTGCATGAGCCCCTTTTCCCGAAACATTTTGGCATCATTATACGTTCCAGCTTTGTGTGGACCACTAAGCCAGATACACCTGCTTTTGAAGAGGTCAATGCCCACCTCATAGTTGAATCCAGCAGCATGGTGCTTGAAGGAAAAATAGGCAGGATCCTTGGGAACATCGGAGTCACCAGGCTCCAGTGTAACGAGGTGAGTGCCATCAACAGTCATGATCCAGATGTCAGTCTGCTGAAATTCAGGCCAGACAATCTTCATAGACTTTAGAGATCTAATTTCGTCTACATAGAACCAATTAGCATTCCTAATAGTGTTGGCGCATTTCTTCCACAGGCTCTCCCGCTCAGTCTCAGTTGGGTATATAGCGATATAGGAAATGCAGTGCCCAGTGAAGCTTATCAATGTTAATACGATCTGTATCAATCCGGGCTTCTTCAACCGTTGTTGTTTGAAGGTCATCCCACACCTGCGCAGCGACAGAAGGATGGATACCATACATCCCCTGGTACTGCTCAACATTAGTGTTGTGGGTCCTCCGACCCAGTCGATTACGGGTCCAACCTAAAACAATTAGCCCTTTCATCAGGATCTCATCAGGAGTGAATATTACCACACCAGATGGTAGCTCGTCATCGGAGGAATCATCCATGATCATGTCATCGTCAAGGGCTGCCATGGTCTTGCTACTAGCTAGCTCGGGGTCGGCAGCAATAGCTAGCTCAAATGTGCACAAAGAGACTGCGGTTGAACCTTTTTCGGTATAAATAAATAAATGAATAGGGATTTCGCGAAAGGACCGTCACTAGGTGACGGTCGCTTGTAAAAGGTCAAGGTTTTTCTTTTTCTCGTGTGGATCCAATTTGTCATCACTCTCAAGAAGGGTTAACGGTACTCGGTAACAATACATGTACCCCCCACCCTATCCTGCCAATGAGTTCATTGAACTTTGGTAGCTGCCTACCGTAGTACATGTATTAGCTAGATAGCTGGCCAACGTACTAGCTAGCTAGCTCGGTTACATGAGCATGAAAACTTTCGGATCTTCTAAAGGGTGGCTGCGTGTTGCTTGCAGTGACGATTGTCGGATCTTTGAAGCGGTGACGCACCTCTTGGGCTACCCCATGAGGTTCACGGACCTGGCCAGTAGTATATCTACGTGGAAGATGCGTAGGAAAATGGGTGCTGGGTCAACGAAGTTTTCCTGGCTAGCTAGCTAGTAGTAGCTGGCAGCAAATGCGAGCAGAGTACCGAAAATCCCCATTGTGCGGGATGGGCAATGTCCACACGGTCAGGGAAGGGTTACTCGACAGGAAAGAAGTCGACCGCAACAAAAGGAACAAGCGCGAGGAAAGTCAAGGATAAGGTTGCGTCGCCTGCTCCTAGGAAGAAGCTTGAAGCTACTTTTGACGAGTGTACCACCGGTGATACAGAAGGAGGAGGGTACAGTAGCGACGATTGGAACTTCGAAGACGGTGAAGATTGTTTGGGGCAGTCCGACCGATCTGCGTCCACAGCTGGATCTCGCAGAGTGAAGCTTTCACTTAATATCCAGAAGAGTCTATTGGAAGACATTTTGTTGGCTGGAGGGATTGACAAGTTTGACCTAAAGTCGCAGCAAGCGCTCTCAGAGCTGTGTATTCAGAGGCCAGAGCTCTACGGACAAAGAGGTGACCAAGTCCGTAAAAAGATTCAGAAGAAAGTGTACAAGTGGAAGGAAGTCTACAAGGATTCTGACGCCAGGTGGGTTAAAATTCTGAATAAGCTGAACGTTTCTGTGAGGGCAGGAAAGACTTCGAAGAAGGCCACGAAACCAGCTCCAGTCCCTTCGTCAGGTCCAACACCCGACCCAGTCAATTCATCAGGTCCAACACCCGACCCAGTCCCTCGTCAGTCCACGTGCCGAACGAGGTCCCTTCGTCAGGTCCAACACCCGACCCAGTCCCTTCGTCAGTCCACGTGCCGAATAAGGTCCCTTCATCAGTACAGAAGAGTTGGACTGCTGGGATTCCACCGGTTGTGAAAGAGGAACGACAGTCAAAGCCCAACACTGGTACTTCCAAAATGAGCGAGTATCCCGAGGGTGCAAGTACGTAATGTTTGCTGTTAGTGGTGTGGTTTGCCAGTGCTTAGCTGTGTGCTAACAGACATGCTTTCTTTGCAGAAATTATCAAGGTGGATGCTGAGCATCCAGAGAACAACGGGCCTTTCTTCATCTACCCAGTTCCGGATATGGAGGCAGCTGAAGAAGGGCACGAATCAAAGGGGTTCTTCATTCTCTACGCCATGGATGAACGCTTCTCGGATCATGATGAAACCGTCAAGTGGATCAGTGCGAATGTTGTTGGGTCGAAGCAGATTCACATTAAGGTCCCATCTTTGCCCTTCTTAATGGCCCCGGGTGTGGAGAACCAAGAAAAGAGGTATGATGCCCTTAATAAAGCACAAGTCGTCCCTCTCTGCGTTATGAAGTCCATCAATGCAGGTGTTTCGTTCCTTGCTCCCCGGGATGATGCCACTATTTCACACTTGGAGGCTGCCAAGAATGAGGCTCGCAAGTGGGAGACATGGGTCCTAGATTTTTCAAGAGTGGATTATGTTGGAGAGCTGAAGTCATCCCTCGTGTACGCTCAGGCTGGGCCAAACGAGTGCTTTATTACGATGTTATCTATATTCGTCCGAGTGGGCGCAGGATTCTACGGGGAAGATAAATATGAAGAGTTTCTTGGCTTCAAGGTGGGTTAGTGTTCAATGGAGAAAGCGTCTCGCAAGGTTAGCAGAGCTTCTGCTGTCAAGAAGAGCACCATGGCCACGAGGCGTCAAGCGGCGCTCGACAAGCTGAAGAAGCAAACTACAAAACAGTCAGGTGGGATGGATCAATCTTAGAGGGTGACCCGGGACTATTGGTTAGTTGTTTGTCCAAAAACTAAACTAGTGTTGTTTCGCTTATATGTTTTTTTCTTCTTAGAAGCCGACATTGAAAAGGCCATGTTTGAGGCTATGGCTAAAACCAACCCCGATGAAGAAGATGATGAAGACGACGATGTAGGTAAGCGGACTTTTGACTATGATACCAATGAGTATGGCTTCAGTCCTTTGGCATGGGCGCAGATCTCAGAGCTCCTTAACGTGGAAGTGAGCCGTGGTGATATGACGTTTGATGAGCTCCTGGAGCGCATGTGGAGTTATGCCGAATCTATGGCTGCAAGCCCACAAAATTTGTCTCAGATGACTGTGGAGGAGCTCTTGGTTTGGTATGTCCAAGCAGAATCAGTTAGAGCGGACAAGCTTCAAAGAGCTTCAGCTTCAGCCTGACGAACCCCGGATGAATTCCCCTGAATATCGTGCTGCAAAGGGGGCCGAAGATCGTGCGAGGGAGGAGGAGGCCGAACAGCATGGCACCGTTGAAGACAACAGTATGGATGGAGAGCAGAAAAGGACTAAGGCTTCTGTGACCGGAGGGCACCTCAAGACTGAACAGGACCGGCTAAATTTGTTCAAACCAACCATTAGGTCTGGTTCTGAACAAAGGGCCAACAAGAATTCGTCAAGGCAAGGCAAGGCACGACAGAAATTTTGGAAGAGAAAAGAAAGCTGGGCACTTAGCTAGTACGGGAGTAAACTAGATTGATAGCGTTCTTTATAGTGATTACGGAACAGCGTGACGGACAGCTGCACCCTTTTTCTCTACACAACATCTCTGTAGAAAGTGTACCAGGTGGGTGCATGTGGATCATGTGGTGCGACAGCTTCTTGTGCTCCGGCCTCCAGGTCGGGTGGCTTTGTAGAATTGTGAAATACTGAGTACCATTTCAGTCGCTGCTTTCTTTTCCTTTGGGGACAAATTCGAATTCAAAACCCTGGTAACCTTGCCCCACGTGCCTTGCCTCAGGTTTCCCAAAATCCGTCCAAGAGAATCCATCTTGTCATGAAGAGCACTCCCTTCACCCTTTGGAAGCCATGTTTTGAGGCTCCTTTTGACCAGGGCAGGAGGAAGGTCCACCATTTTGATCTCTGCCTTTTCACTCGTTCCACTTTCCTCCCAGTCAACCATGTCAAGAGCAGTCAATATCTTCCGGGTATGAAGTCCTACGACAGTGTCAGTGGAGCCAAAGACATGGGACATCAGCAGCGATGTCACAGTGTCATCACAGATGGAAGAAAGATCCGCCCTTTTAAATGGAACACTCCCCTCAAAATTCGCAACCAAATCTGTTCCAATTGACTTGAGAGTGGCAGCAGCTTTGCCGTTAATGTCGTAATCATCAAGGATCTTCTTAAGACTCTGTACAGTAGCAGCCGCAAAGTCATCAGGAGAGACCAAACCCTGTCCCAGAAAGGCCAGCACAGCTGCAATGGCGTCATCAGAAGAGCTGCAATGAACGACACGAGTGTTAGGTTTCATTGGAAAGCCAAGAAGGCAACAACTATGATGGAAGGTAATCGGGTAAACAAACCTCTTCTGAGCAAGAACAACCATAACAAGATAGATGAAAACACGGCCTCTGAAGTCCACGGGAGGACGTAAATTGTCTGCTCCAATGAACTCCATGGCAGCGCCAAATGACATGGGTTTCGGCAATATTCCTTCCTTACTCAGCAGCGTGCAAATGACGCCAAGAAGATTCAGCTTCTTAGTGCTGGCTTCGGTCCAGGCACAACCAGGATTCTGCATGGAGGAGTTGTCACCCTTGCGAGGAGGATTCCAAGCATCACCCAACCTGGTGGCCTTCTGCCGAGGAGTCTCCATGTCACCAAGACGCGCTGTGTCACATCTCTTTGCTTTTTTTTTTGCTGGTACAATCGCTCTCTTCTTTGGTCACTCTCTCCTTTTCCCTTTCCAAAGCCTCCTCTTTCTTGGCTTTTTCTCTTGTGCGGCCCGGGCGGCTGCTGCTTGCTTCCTTCGGGCCTCCTTTGCTTGCTGGTCCGACTGCTGGAGTGCAGGAGTAACTCTTTCCTTTTGGTTCTCAACACAGCCCTTGATGTTCGTCCCCTGCCTCCCAGGTCTTGGCTGCTGTCTCCCAGTTCTTGGCTGTTGTTGATTTCTTGTCGTTCACGTTGAATCCTCTCGGCCTCCGTTCGGCTGCCTCCGCATCCTCTGCTGCTTTAATTTGGGCAGCCCGAGTAGCAGCCAGCTGATCGTCAATCTTCTTTTGCTTTTCCAACTTTGCTGCTGCCCTTTTGAGCTTTCGGATGTGCTTTTTGACTTCCTCATCAATGGCTTCTATCATTGCATCCTTAGAATGGCAGAGCTTGCAGACTCCCCTGGCAATGGCTTCAACAAGGGATAGTTCGGCTGTTGGATTCATTGCACGAAAAACAGCCATCATATTCCGCCACAATCTCCACCTCTGGCAATATGTGCAGTATGATTGGACATTACTGCTGGCCTGACCTTGTGATCTAGCCTTTGCATCCTTGTCAGCTTTCGAAGCCTGATGCACTGCTCTCACCTTATCGAAATCATCTTGAATCGGGTCAATTCCCTGGGGGTATGTGCCCCACTCTCCAGGAGTGACCAAGTCCCAGTTGAATGCCTGAAGCTGCTCTGATGTTTGGGGCATGGAATACTCCAGCATATCCACTTCAAGAGTGTCGGCCACAGCTCTGATGGTGTCCTTGGCTCTGAAAAACATTGTTGGTTTGTTGCTGTTGCTTTCAAGAGCTTTCATCATTGAGTCTTTGGCTTTCTGTGTCACAAAGAACGTTTGGTTCCCAGAAGTAACCTTCATGACTCTCTGGCTTGGATCAGGAGCTTCCACGAGAGGCTGTGTACTATAAAGACTCCATGCGTTGCCGAGTACATTGTATGATGCCAGCCAGAGGACCATATCATGGCGCTGCGTTCGAATTCTCAAGGAAGGCTCAGAGGCGCCAAAGGGGTTCAGCTCCATCACAAACCCATCCCCATTCATCTTGACAATCAAAGGGGTCACCAAAGATGGTTGCTGGTGTCCTTGCGAGACGAAGAGCAGCTTGGCGAAGCCTGGCTGTGACCTCCGTAGAAAATGTGTTGACAACGTCTTCAGAGATGACTTTTTTGAACACAATCTCCCAGCAAGGAATCATTGACTCGTGCGGGAGTATTGTATCAATGTGGCTTCGAAGTAGCTTGGCCAGTTCGCGGCTCTCAGTGAATAGAGCATGGCCATCGACAAAAAGCAACGGCGAGCCAAACTTTTGGAATCCTTTCCCAGAGAGATCGCTAGACTCCTTATTGAGGACAAGGTTGAATGTATGGTTTGGCTTGTACTTGTTCCACTGCTCGAGAAGCAGAGCATCATCGTTGTTGGTTTCATCATCATCGGCTGCCATGGTAGCGGTTTGTCACCATTCGACGTGCCACTTGCCAATTGTGGGTGTTTTGCAGCGAACTCCAAGCGTGAAGTTCCATCGGAGCAGCATGACGGAGTGCCATCGATACGGAGTGCCATCGATACGGAGTTATATCGCTCGCTCATGCTCCACGATGCTTCGGTCGTAACACATGAAGGCTATTTACGCTGCTGGTACTTATTCTACTGAGAAATCTAGTAGCGGAAGGGGTTGATGGAACCGAAGTGCCATCGTCAAAATAATGGTCAATGGCCACGAGGACTCGATCAAAATTAGGGGCAGATTTGAAACCCGCCCCTAAATCTACCCCTAAATCGGACCGTTTTTAAGGGCGTTTCTCGGAATTAGGGCAGATTTGTAAATAGGGGCGTGTTTGAAAAACGCCCCTAAAAATTAGGGGCAGATTCGGAAAAACGCCCCTATTTCAGGTCGGTTTCGAAATCCGCCCCTAAATTTGGGGCGGGTTTCAAATCTACCCCTAAACCGTTAGGGGCGTTTTTCAAACACGAGTGACGCCAACCATGAAACCGCCCGGCTCGGTATCTGACGTCACGCACGACTGGACCATAATGCGCGATTGAGGGACGCTCCTGGGGAACCCCCACGGCGTGGAAACGGAGATAAACGAGAGCCAAATAGTAAGCTTCTTCACCAAGTCCTTCCTGGGCAAGAGTGTCGGTATGCACTGCACCTTCAGTTCGCTCCTCATCTCAGCCAGTGTGCCAGCAGTATGGAAAGCCTCCTTTCGGTAAGTATTGGAGACTTCCTCACTTGACACCTCGTCCTTCTACATAATGTTTTGATGCAAGAGAACAGCTCTTCCTTCAACAGATCCGGATCCCCATTTCGAAAGCAAATAAGAATTAGCCAAACCTCTCGAGCGACAGCTGTAGCTCGTTTAGGATACTGTTTTCGGGTTCCACAAAAAATTGAATAATTTCGTAGAAGATGTTGAGTTGAAGGTACCGCTGCATGTGCAGCAGGTTCAAACACTGAAGAGTAGATAAGCTCTCCTTGGAAGAGAAAGCGATCATCATCTCCACAAACCAATGAGAATGAGTTGCAGATTTGTGGAAGAGGATGACGCTGTGGAGCTTCTTTCTTGGATTGCATTGTCGCCGTCTTCGCGTCGTTAACGTCGTGGTTGCTTCCTGAAAGACGCTCCGTGGAAGCAGTCATCAATCCGTGGCAATCTTCGCGTCGCTCCTCGCAAGGAAGTCTGCCGTACCAGCCGCTGGTTCGTTACTCCGCGTCATGGTTGCTTCGATAGATCGCCCCGTGGCATCAATCGGTCGCCTCGCCGCTGTAATAACATCAGATATCTTGGAAGCAGTCATCGACGAAAAATCCGTCGATCTGTCGCTGCCGCTGTTTCCAGCAAATCGGAACAGAAGGATCATGTCATGATCATGGTGGAGAAGTAGTAGCCGCTGTAGATAGGATTAGCCGCTGCAAAAGGAGGTAACATCATCTTGATACATAAATGAACCGTGGAAGCAGTCATCGGCCGGACGAAGTGTTGATTCGTCGATGCCACAGCCGCTGCTAACTCTAGCTAGTACGGCCGATGCGGTCCTGTCGCCGTTCGACGCCATGATCTACCGTACTGCCGTTCGACGCCATTTTCATGAGATAATGAGCCAAAGGGTAACCCCGCGCTGTTCACTTCTCAGCATGGTGGGGTTTTGGAGGTTCTGAGGCTCTTGGGACATGGAGACACTGGCTGGGGGCAACGTGACAGTTTTAAAAGCAAAGACTGGCATGCATCTGGCATCTGCTCCTCACGGGGCGAAACATGACAATGAAACATGCTTTCGAAAATCGCTACCAGTAGAGCTACCGGTACGGTGGCACGGTGGCTGTGTGGGCCACACTCGAGTGACAGTCGAGTGACAGTCGAGTCGAGCGACAGTCACTCGCTCGAGTGTCCCTCAAACCTCAAAACAGCCAGCGGGAGAGTAAAGACTATGTTGTATTGGTCAACTCTTCGCAACACTGTGAGCCTTTCTACATACAGTACTACAGTACGATTGTGGGGAAGATCCTTTGGCTTCGATCAAATTTGCTTTGTGTAGAAGGCCTCTAGCTAGGGTACCGGTACCGATGGATGCACCCAGGGGCAAGTTTGCACGGGCAATAAGTCATTGCGGATCTTTGAATCAATCATGTTTGAAGAAGCTTTGAATTTCTGCGTTTTGCCACAGGCTTTCAATTCGAATTCATTATACTAGCTACTAGTACTGGAGTAGTGCGATGGTGAAGAAGCGACAGCCCTCGTTCATGAGTGATTGATTCACGCAATCAATCGGTTTCCAACTCGACCCATTGCACAAGCAAGAATCATTTGGACATCTCGCACATCTTCGGCATCACCGTGCCGTTCGAATGTTCTAGTTGAATGGCTATGACATCGTGTGTTCGAAGGGACCACCATGCATACCGGCACAGCACATGATCAATTATACCGTACTGAATAATTGGTTTAAGTTAAGGTGCATAGTACCTGGTACATAGTAGGGCATCGTGTCGTCAGTCGATGAGCAAAGGTCAAGATACAGTACAGTACTTTAGAATGTAGCAAGGGGTTCCTTTAGCTAAAAGTTTCGGCCGTGAATGTCTGAAATACTGTACTAGCTAGCTAGTAGTCTTACAGAGCAAAAGGAGAAAATTTATTAATCACGCAGAGCTCGGTATTTTAATACTCTAATATTGGAGTAGGAGTTATTACAGGCTTCACTTAGTCTACTTTTAGACTTGGTGGAATCCGAGTCACACTTTGCATACAGGATTTCGGTAGCGAAAAGCAATACGAGAGTACACAGTGTTACACAGTCGACCATGCTCATGAACCACTGAAAGCGCTATGCATCTTCACAGGCTCTTGGCAGGCCCATCCTGTGCATGCATTGTGGCTCCGTGATGGCGCTCGCCGCAGCCACGCAGAACGATCCAGCAAGCGCTACCACCAGGTAGCTAGCTATGGCCTTTGTTATCCACCAGCACCCACAAAATTAATCTTGTAGCCCAAACAACAACGACCATACTCTAGCTAGAGATAGAAACCAAACTGGTACGATAGCCATAATTTCCAAACAGGAACTGACAACAACAAACATGGCACTCATCAAATCAGCAGAAGAGGCTCCGAAACAAACAACTTTGATCCAGCAACTCAATGGTGTTGCTGTTGAAAAACAAAATGACATCTTTGCCACATGGCATGAGGCCAATGGAACCATTGGCCAGGAATACACCTTTGAACGGCTCTGGGAAGAAGCCGGAGCAATTGCTTACAACCTACACCACAAATGGGGAGTGAAGAAAGGAGAAAAGGTGGTCTTGTGCTATGGCTTTGGGCTGCACTTTTTTGCCGCCTTCCTTGGTTGCTTGAGGGCTGGGGTTGTGGCGGTTTTGGTTTATCCTCCATTTCCACCTCTCACCAAAACACTCCCAAAGATGGAGAAAGTCATCAAAGACTGCCAGCCTGTGTTGATTTTGACTGACATAACAATAATGGCATTGAAGAAAGTGGATGAAATAAAACCATTCTCAAAGAGCAAGGGAATGTGGCCCAAGGGCATCCCCTTCAAGGTTACCAATGGTATCAACATTCACAAACATGTGGAATCATTTGACCAAGAAGACATTCTTGAGTCAGATGTTGCATTCTACCAATACACATCGTAAGTGCCGTGATTCTTTATGGCTCTTCTATCATTCTCATGCTGGGCAGCAACTAACTAGAAGTCTCCATAATTATTGAAGGGGAAGCACTGGTGATCCAAAGGGAGTTATGGTGACCTTTAAGGCGTTGGAAGCCAATGTACACATCAACCTCAATGGCCTAAGCCAGAAGTGTGCAGAGGATGGATTTGATGTGGACAAGATTATTGGCTTCTCTTGGTTACCACAGGTTTGTCTTATGTCCTGGTGCTTGGTGTACATTCTGTTGATTCAGTCAGCTCACAAACACAAACTTCACAAACATCAATTTGTGTTCTCTCCTTCACATACAGTATCATGACTTTGGATTGATCTTTGCATCCATAGTTCCTTTTGCAGCTGGGTGGAGAATGCACATGATGTCTCCCTTAACCTTCATCAAGAAACCTTTGTGCTGGTTGGACTTCATGTCAAAGCATAAAGTCACATTGGGGGTGGCCCCTGACTTTGCTTATCATTTGGTAGCCAGAAAGTTTAAAGAGGAGATGTCAAAGGCAGGTGGAAAATGTCCAATTCCAAACCTTGATCTTTCCTCAGTCAAGTACCTACAGAATGGGGCTGAGCCAATCAGGCTTGACACCCACAAAGAGTTCAGCTCCACATTCTCTGACTTTGGATTAAGGAAATCATGGTTCTGCAGTGGCTATGGTTTGGCAGAACATGTTGTCACTGTGTCCTGGTTGAATGAATACCACCTGTCAACCCAACGACCAGAGGACTCGAAGAGCTTTGTAGCAGTGGGTTCCAAACAAACCTTCCATCCCTGTGTGGACATCAAAATAGTTGACCCTGCCAACAAACATGAACTTCCTGCTGGCCAAACGGGTGAGATTTGGATTGCCGGTCCTTCCATTGCTGCTGGATACCATGGAAAGCCAGAACTGTCAAGTGAGGTATTTCAAGCCAAGCTGCTCCCTCAAGATTCTGCCACTGATTTGGACGATGGCACCACCACCTTCCTTCGAACAGGGGACCTGGGCTTTATGCAAGATGGGTACTTGTATGTTTGTGGCAGGATCAAAGACTTGCTCATTATCAACGGGGTCAACTACTATCCCCAAGATATTGAGCTAGCTGTTCAATCCTGCAATGGTGTCAGGCCAGGATGTGTGGCAGCCTTCTCTTCTGATGACTCTGGTGAAGGTGATGGCCAGCTTGAAGTTGTCTTTGAGATTAGGAATGCAAACAAGATGACTGCACAGGCTGTGTGTGAGGCAATCAAATCTGTGATCATTCACGACATTGGCATTGTTCCTTCCAAGATTGTGGCATTGGAAGAAAGAAGCATAGCCAAGACAACCAGTGGCAAGATCCAGAGAAGGAGAAACAGAGACCTGCTCCATGCAAATCAACACAAAGCTGTGTTTGTCCTGGATCAGTCATCTAAGTTGACAGGCCAGGGTAATGGACACCAGGAAACTAGCAACAATCTCCCTCCTGCAGAGAAGTTTGATGCCATCATGACTTCACTCCTGGGATCTGACTATGATCCAGATGCTGGATGGGATGAAAATGGCCTCACTTCCCTCATTTTGATTGAGCTCAACAACAAGCTAGCTCAATCTTTTCCAGCCACAATCCCCAGTGACTTTCCTGACCACTATCCAACCCCGGTTGCACTCAAAGAGTACATCCTCAGCCCAAATCATGGATCATTCTTCCCCATTGAAGTACCAAGCTTTGACACTTCAGCTACAAGACTTCCCTGGCCTGTAGTCACTCTTTTGCAGGGGGGTGGCATCATTGTGCTCTTTTTGATGCTATCTGTAAGCACAGTCCCTTCTTTTTGGTGCTACAAGCTCATCATCTATGATGGAGCACCACCTTCTCTTGGGATCTTGCTACCGCTAGTCTTCTTGCTGTGGCACATTACCTTCACCCTCTTGGTTTGCCTCTCAAAGTGGATTGTAATTGGCAAGTACACAGCCCAAGAGGTTCCAGTGTCATCCCTATACTATGTCAGATGGTGGTTTGTTGACAGGGCAGTGCACTTGTGGGAGATGTTGACTGGCAGGTATGTCAAAGGCACTCCATGGCTGTGGCTCTTCTATTCAATGATGGGCTGCAAGGTTCACTCCTCTTCCAAGTTGGATTGCTTCCTCCGAGAGTTCGATCTCTTGGACATTGGTGAAAACGCCGAGATCAGTTTTGGGATCAAATGTCGAAAGTTTGGACCCTGGCAGGAGTCTGGGCGGTATGCTGGGTGTCCCACGTTGAGGTTCAGGCCAATCAGAATTGGGGGTGGCTGTGTGGTTAAAGGACAAGTAGGTCCTGGTGTGGTACTTGGTGATGACAGCAAAGTTGAGAAGCTAGCTGCAGTCCCGGAGGGTTCCCAGGTCCCAACTTCTGCCATTGCAAGAGGAAGTCCTGCTCACCAGAGTGGCATGGCACAGCCGAAAAAGAACACTGAGCATGAAAAGAAGAGTATGGCTGTGTTGAGAATTGCCAAAATTGTTGGGCCCCTCATGGAACTCTACTTGACCTTTGCCATTGCTGGGTCTGCTGGTTGGGCCATCACGATTGGACTCTCTGGGTTTGAGTGGCGGTATTCTGCCCTGTTGAAGGCTTTCCTCGTCGTCGTCCTCACGGGTATTGGAAACTTACTAGTTTGCATTCCCATGAAATGGATTCTGATTGGACACCGAAAACCAGGTCCAGTAAGCAACAACTCTATCTTCCAAGAATCGCTTGACTGGATGGTCGACTATCATTTCTTTGTCAGCCTTGTTCTTCTGGACCTTGTGGCAGAAAATGCAGTCATGATCAATGGCTTTTTGTGGTTACTGGGCTTGGATATTGACATTGAAACTAAGGTGTGGTGTGTACACTTCCCTCCCTCCAAGGTGGATTTAATCACTGTCACAAAGTCATCGCTATCTGTTGCACATTTTGATGTCAAACAAGATGGCAAGTACAAAAAGATCCACATTGAAAACACAAGCATTGGGCACAGTGTCACTATTGACGGTGGTGTAACCATTGACTCGGCCCAGATCAACCCATTGACACATGTGACAGCCAACATCCAAGGTAATTTGACTTCAAAGGGGACAAGATTGCCACTATCAAAAAGATTGGTGGTTGACCTTGCCACACCTTTGATAGCAACAATGCTCTTCTTCTCCATCATCCCAACTTATGAGTTCTTCCAAGTGGACTTCTATGTTCCCTTGGTTGGATTTCCAGTTGTGAAAATGGCTTTGGCACTTGCAGTTTTCTGTTTCTCTTGGTTCTTTCTCCTCATACTGCTCCATTGGATCACATATCCAAGTCAGTACTTTTGTGGAGCACAAGGACAAACTAAGCCCTGGTTCTTGGCTATGTTTGCAATTTACATGGACTTGCACTGCTTTCTCTGGGACTTCTCCCTCCTTCCAATCTTCTGGGGCACACCCTTCTTCAATTTGTTCCTTAGAGGCATGGGATGTAATGTAGAGGGCCAAGCTCTCTTCTTTGGCATTCGCCTCTATGACTTGCCATTGGTGACAATCAAGGACAAGACCATCATTGATTCATGTATTGTTTCTGGGCATTCGTGGGTCGTTGATGGTGTTTACATTGGACCAACAACTGTTGCTGGAGTACTGCATGAGGGAAGCTTCTGTTTAGCCAACACATACTTGTTGGATTCAAGCAAAGAGACTCACCCAATGCAGTTTGTGCCCCCCAGATCGAATGGGGAGGAAAGGAATTTGAAAAATCCACAGGACTGTGGAACTGAAGACACCGAGCTGGCCTACACTGTGTAGGATGACGGTGAGGCAATGTGTCATCCATCCACATGAAGCCGCTAGAGTCTTCCATGAAATACACCGAGCTATGATGGTTTGCCCGTGCCAGTTACAAACTGATTTTACTATTAGAATATTACCACATGTGTGATTGTTGTCTTGCGTCTGTCCTCTGTGTTCTTGTCTGCTTGCTCGCTCTGGTGGACAATCTTTGCTCTGGGAGGCCTTGGTTCCCGGTTGGATTGTTTGTGTTTGTATTGTCTCTGAGCAGTAACATGTTTCTATAGAGGTTGGCATGCCTGGCCTGGTGCTCTACTGTAAGATCCACGTATCCTCAAACGTTTCACCAGCTGGGTCCCAGCCTCCTTGCAGCAACAATCCGCTGTCACTGGAAGCTGAGCAGAGTGATGCAGCCAATCGAGGTTTGGGACCATTACTGGTTTCGATTTTCTCCCACACGCATTTGCTACCATCCACTGTTAGGACCCATGCATCTCCTTGCGCCTGCAATCCGGCCCCTCCTTGGTACCCACCATCACCCAGAGACGCCCCACCAAAAATGACGCACTGATTGTCGCCAATGTGTGCGGCCGAGGGACTGGCACGTGGACTAGGGCCGGCAGAACTACAATCCAGTTTGGTCCATTCCCAAGTTTTCGTGTCGAGCACAAAAGCATCCGCCGAGAGCTGTTGCGTTTGGGTGGATCCTCCAAAAACGAGCAAAGAGGTATCGGTTAATGGCGACATGGCACACATACTCAACCCTTCCGGGGCCTCTCCGGATGTTTCTTGTTCCTTCCATTCCCCATCAGATGTCAAAACCACGACTCCTCGAAATGTGTGTACCACAAGAGTGTCGTCGCCCACCGTGCACGCGGCATGACGAGAGACTGGACCACAGGGTAGAGTATTCGATTCTTCCTTTTTCCATTCCAAATTTTCAGCAGTCAAATCGAGAGTCCATATCTCATCGAGAAACGTGCCTCCACTTTTGGGTGCACCAGGATCCCATCCTCCCACTAGATACAGAGTATCATGGAGGACGGCCGCGGCCGAATACATGCGTGGTCCGGGTCCACTACTACCGCTGTTCTTGACCAAGCTCCATTCCTTATTGTCGGAAAAGGTCCACAATTGATCCGTGCAAGGAGATCCGGCATTCCCAGTGAGACCCCCAAAGACAATGACACGATCTTTTTTGGCGTCCGTTGCCGCAACATGGCCACTGACACGAGGAGCTTTCCCGACGGGCACAGCGGTCCAAGTCCAGGCAAGGGCTGTTGTTGGACACAACAAGAACAACAGCAAAAGGCAGCAGAGCAATTTGGCAACGGATTTCATCATGATCAGAATGAATATAATGAAACGAAACAAGTCTAACCGATAATGAAGAGAATTCTTTCTGTGATGTTGATTGCCTTTCTAAAGAATACTAGCTAGTACATGGAAGGAGACCAACAATGACAGCAACGTCGACATCTATCGTGTGGAGACCTCTCAAAAGAATTCTGAAGGACGATGTCAAGTTCATTCGTGGCAAAACGATCTTCGGCAAGGTTCTCATTTTGAGGGTTCTCTTTCTCGCAAGAAGTGTTCTCTCTCCTGCACCCCCACAAAAAACAAACAAGCCTTCCCATTCAACATCCACCATGGCATCCCCAGCAGCAACAACGACGACGACAGAGACGGAGAAGAATAAGGACGTCGTCGAACCCAAAAGCTCCCAGCAGATTCTGAACTTGCAGGTCCCCTTGGCAGTGGGAACCTTGCAGTGGGGAACCACGCCCATTGACCAGAGCATTATCAATTCCAAAGGATGCATTACGGAGAGCGAAGTAGCCTTGATTGTGCGAGACTTTACCCGTGCCGGAGTCACGTTGTGGGATACAGCCGAAGGATATGGTGGTGGAACCAGTGAACAGCGACTGGGAAGATTGGCGGACCGCAAGACCACCATTCTCATGACCAAATTTCTTCCCGTGCCGTGGCGGGGATTCTTTCCCGGAGACTTGGAACGGGCCGTTCGAGCTTCCTGTCGACGCTTACAGACCGACAAGATTCATGTGTACTTGCTCCATAGTCCTGTTCATTGGAGATCCTTGGAATACTGGATTGCACGAGGCGCGGAATGCAAACAAAAGGGACTTATCGATGCCATGGGATTGAGCAACTGCAATGCCGACCAAGTGCGTCGCGCGGTGGCGGCAGGGAAACAATTTGGTGTCGATATTGTCGTCAATCAAGTGCATTATTCCTTGTTGGATTATCAGAGTGAAAATTTGCAAGAAATGGAACGAACCTGTCAAGAATTGGGAGTCGCCATTGTTGGATTTTCCGCCATTGGACAGGGACTCCTCACGGATACACTCACACCCGAATCATGGGAAACCAATCGTCCCGCCAAAATGCTCCGCTTGAAATACAATGATATTCAACCCTTGCGTGCCGCTTTGAAACGCATCAGTCAAGAATATCCTGTCGATAACAACGACAACACTCAACATCAACAAGCTCACAAGTCCATGGCACAAGTGGCCATCAATTGGTGTATCTGCCATGGTGTGGTACCTCTGGTAGGATGTCGTTCGCAAAAACAAGCTCAAGATTCCATTGGAGCTTTGGGATGGAGGCTCACCGACGCCCATATTCGGGAACTGGATCAATTGGCTTTGGGTCGGTCAACCTTGGATAGCCCCGGGTGGCGGCGCATGATCTTTGTCACCTTGTTTGGGATTGTCATGACGGTTTGTCAGATGTGTGATGCCTTTGGATTCGGCATGGTCAAGCAAACAAGAGGCTAGTTTCCAGTCGACAGCATGGAGGAAAATTTGAATGCTCTCTTGGAATCTGTTCACCTGGTACGTATTATTGCATGAATCCAGCCATAAATTACATGTAGACAACTTGTTGCGGCATAGCTAGCTTTAGCTTGTTACATTAGGAAAAAGAAATGCTTTCGTACCAAGTGGGCAATGATGATACAGACCAATAGCAGCGGCATGGCCAAGGAGTTCACTAGATCAGTGTTGATCAATCGATGGGAAAGTCCAATCATGACGATCTGAACGTCTGCAATCAGTCTGGCGGCCAAAGTGCAAAATGTCACTATTGTTCCCAATTGAAGAGCAACGCTACTGCTCCTGATGCGAGGCGGTGATACTTTGGACAGCAGCGATAGTGTGGAGCTGTCCAGTGAGGTCAACGCCAAAATGGTGACGGTGCAGCCGACAAAGTACTGCACAATTCCAATGAGCCAGTCGTAGAGGGTCTCGGCCTTCCTTTCTTCCGTCTCGGTAAAGAGACTCTCAAGCTGAAAGCCAAGCTTGACTATGGACCCATAGTTCAACATGATCAGCAACCCTACAAAGAGGACAATCAGAGATTTCTATGTCCAAAAAAAGGAGCATCATGAGCAACTTTTCGAGACAATCTCTTCTCTGTTGCAAAGCTTGATGCCTACCTTGATGACGGTGCGCTCTTCGTACTTCTGAGCGATGTGGCCACAGATATAGTTCATTGGAAGCACAGCGATGGTCAACCCTGACAAGAATATACCCGCTCGGCCTCCACCCCAACTAAGCAAACAGAAGCAGTACAAAGAAGAAGGAGTGAGGTCCAACGTTTTGAACCGTCATAACCTAGTCCCACAATGACGAACCTGAAGTACCGGTTCAAAATGATTGCCGAAGATGAGAATATGACTTCCTGGGCAAACTTGATGTAAAGCACCATGAAGAAACAAAGAGGAACGGCAACGCTGTAGGCAAGCAACCGCTTCAATCGACTAGGAAAAGACATCAGAGTCCGACGCCTTCGTCTTCCTTTCCTTTTCTTCTTTTTCCTCAAGGGGCTCATTTCATCCAATGACGTATCCTTTGGGTCGTCTTGAATCGGTTCCTCAGCTGTGCCTGTTCCATACGTGAGTTGCAAGGAGGTTCGATGGCCGGAGGAGTGCGACTTCCCTTGCCCTGACGTAGATGAGTCCGAGTCATGGTGTTGTTGCTGTTGCTTCATTTCGGGTGGCTGCGGATTGTTTGTAGTCGTGTATCTGGCTAACATCTGTTCCACTTCTGCTGCATTGTTGGCTTCGAGCTTTTCTTGTTCCTCGCTGTCTTCCACTTTGAAATTGATACAGACACACAAGAATTGCATGAACCAGCAAAACGCCATCAACCAAGTGGAGCTTGACAAAGATTTTACGCCCCATCCTCTTATGTGATAAGGCAGGTATTCTGCGAGGGTTCCAACCAACAAGCCCGTCAATTGACCAAGGACTTGAGTCTGCACTAGAACCGCAGTCTCGGTCACAAGACGATTCATGGGCAAGAGGCTAGCCACGAGGTTGCGGTGCAAGATCGAGGAACAGCTAAATCCCATGACAAAGCGGCCAAGCACTGCTAGCAACATGCTGTTCTTCCAAAACCCCACAACCTGCACAGCATTCCCAACCGCTCCAAAGAGTGCAGCAAGCATGAACAGCCACCGCAGGGAAGATATCCTGGCTAGCGGTTCTTTGCTGTCACCCGACAACACGTAGCAATGAAAAAGTGCTGACAGTAAGGCTGCAACATTGGGGGCTCCAATAACCAAAGCAGAATGAACTCCTGGCTGCTGGAGAGCCAAGACAAACGTGATCGTAGTGGGATGGACGCAGAAGTAGTTCATCTGAATAGATTGAAATGAGTGAGGCTGGTGGTATGTTCATAATGGGAGACAACCGAGGTTCATCGGTATCTATGCTTACCGTATAAAGGAAATTGGACGCCCGATTCAACCTCAGTATAGACCGAAAGGAGTCATAGTCAGATAATGCAACGCCCGAGATCGCCTGCTTGTTCCTTTGACCTTTAAACAGATCTGGGCCGTCCACAAACTTGAATTTTGGTAATATGTTCACTGCAGAGACGACCGCCTTTGCTTGCTGCCGAATCGTCCTTCCGGACAGTGCGTATGGGAGTTCCACCGGTGTAGTTGCAACTGCCAAAGAAGAAGTCATCACGGAACACATGGACCGCTTCGACCACATACCCTGCTTCAGTCCATCATTCAATGATGACGGATCCATCAGCAATGCCGCGTCGGGGTTGTAGGAGACGAGGAAATCAAGTGTCTCCCTGGAACACCCATCGAGCCCCTCGCCAACCACTGCCCGCCCGGTGAACGCTAACATCGATCGGCTGAGATACGTTGGATAGACGTCTTGTTTCCGCCGCGCCGCTTCTCGTAAAGCAATGATGGAGGTAACGGTGAAGCGCAATCTCGTCAGCGATATGCTGGACGCAGTCGACGGTGCATCCGAATCCGCGCACATTGCATACTCTTCATTTTCGTCAAAGGGACCCATGGATCCTCCTACTGCAAAAGAGCCCCCGGTCATTGTTGACATTTGATCTTGCTGCTGCTGCCTGTGGCGCAAAAAATCTCGGCTCGAACTGCCTCTTCGGGGTGCAGGAAGGCCGGATGCCGTTGTATTTAGTGTCGCCAAGGCATTGGCTCGAGATCGAGACACTTCGTACTCAGACAGCGCAAGTACAAGGCATGACGAGATCACTTGTACGGTCCTTGAGTTTGCTAATTGTTGCAGATTGGCGTCGTACAAACCAACCAACTTGTAGTTTTGCACTTGACCAATAACCTGAGGATGATGTGGTTCAAAGATATCTGCCGACTCACGTGCCAGCAGTCCTCCAAGGGTTTGTGCATTCTGAACGTGCTCGTCCTGAAAGGACCGTTGCGTATCACGTAGTCCATTTTCTTTCCATTTGCTATTGCTTTCAGAGAATGCCAACAGTTTGAGGTGGTGATAATACCCACCCAGCATTCGATTCATGAGCAATCGATCGTGTTTGCGACAAATCTTTCGGACAGCAATCAGATTGACGCATATGAACCTTAGAACATGCATCAGTTCCACTCCCACAGCAGTGTACCCATCGGCTTCGTCCACAGCTGACAGCAGCAAGAGATCTTCCCCCATGACATTGCCGCTGCGTTGGAAGATTGGCTTATTACGGCGGAGCTTTTCGAAATGATCCAAGTGTCTCTTGGCAGAATCAAATCCTTCGTGCTTTTGCACGACATTGTTGTGATGATTGTGGCGAGCACTTCTGTGGCTCTCGTTCTTGGCATGATGATGATGATGATGATGATTCTTGGAAGAAGATCTCATCTTGCGACGTTGCTGCAAATCCCGATAGGCCGACAAACTTCGTGGGACATTGGGACTGGCACTGTCACGACTCTTGACTGAGTCGTCACTGTTGGAGGAATCGGACCAATAAAAGAGAAGACCAGTGTCATCTTCGTCTGCCGCGTCATCCGACGACGACGATGCCGAGGAATGCATACCACCATCCGAGAGTGGATAATCGTAGGATGCCGGCGTAGTCCGTGCTGCGCCACTGTTGGTGGTGGGTGACAAGGGTGCCTCGGCTGACGAATGATGATGATGATGACTGGAAATGATGGATGTCAAATCGCCATAGTGTTGTTGATATTGATGCGATTGCGATTGAGATGAAGATGCTTGCAAATGTTCATCTTCCATGGCGGGAAACCGCAACGATCCACACGTATCTGCCAATTCTCCCAACCGCGATTGCGCAAACAGCATGACTTTTTCGCATTCAGCCCGTAGAAGACCCAAGAACCGTTCGGTAATGTCTCGTGCTTTGGTATGCGCCCGACGCATATGCCGTGGTACTTTGCGTTCCAATGCTTTGCGCTTGGCCAACCGTTGTCGTTTCTTTTGTCGTCGTTTCCGTCGTTCTTGTTTGCGTTCTTCTTCTAAGGCTTGTTTGGCGGCATTACTGGTAGTGGCAGAGGCGGGTGCCGTGGCTGTTCCAGCAGCAAAAGCGACCGATGTGGAAGCATGATGCTTCAGGTTGTCTCCAGGTGGAGGAGGTGTAACGGGTCCTGCCTGTGCGCAAAGGAGAACAATCCCGTGGCGGGGGTAGAAGGAACCGAGAGCAGAGAAGTCTTTTCGCTGCTCAAGTTTCTCCGTATTGGCTTTTTGAGAAAGGAGGATTGATTTCGTGTCGCCGTGGTTTGTGAATAGGAGGATGTGAGAGTATTGTTGTGGTTGTTGCCGGTGATGTTGGCTGTTGTTGCTGTTTGCAAATACTCATCATCCTGTACCATTAGATCGGTACTATAGTCGTCGTGCTGGTGTTCGGAACTGCTGTCCATGATGAAGGCATCGGCATTGGACCCAGCCGTGACAAAGAAATCGTTCTCAGCTGCCGGAGAAAGAAACTGGCTTCCTCCACTCTTGCCGTGAAAGTGGAGACCTCTGTTGTTGTTATTGTTCTTTTTCTTGGGTGACGGTTTGCGCTTTGTCTTTCCTCCTCCCCAAGCCGAAGGCACACAGTTGTTGTGAGGAGTACTATCAATGCTATCGTCGTCATCATCTTCGTCCATATTGGCATATCCTTCAGGATGATGGTAAAGATCCTGATGGCGTGAAACTTGATAGGATGCGAGCGAAAAGTGCGCTCCATTGGGTCCACTCGCATTCGAGTCGCCTCTTCGATGCTGGTGTGAGTTTTGCTGTTCACTAGTGTAATAAATGGAGTCTGTATTGGAAGAAGATCGGTTGTGATTGCTGTTGTCGTTGTTGTTCTGGCGTGTCGCGGCCATGGGAGACGCTGGATTGTTGTTCATTGTATTGCTATTGTTATGATTGTGTTGTTGTTGTTGTTGACTGGACATATGAAGTTGCCACTGTGCTTGCATGGCAGCCTGATGTTCCCGTTCTAGTTGTTGCTGTTGTTCCAATTCCGATGCTTCTTCTTCGGCCGAGTAGTAATCATACTTCATGAGGGCTTCAAAGGCGGCATCGGAATCGGATTCCAGAAAGAGTTCCTTGCGGTAATCATTGCCCGCTGGTTCCGTTTCGTTGACGGCTGTCGTCGATGTCGTGAATCCGTGGCCTTGCGGAGTGTCGTAAAACATGACATCCAAATCTCGTCCATCTTGTCGTCGTTGCTGCAAGTGCGCTTCTTCCTCGTAAATGGCTTCAATCTGAGTCAACAGCAGCTTGAGCGCTTCATAGTCCAAGTAGGCTTCTTCCCATCCCGGGCGTCTTGCCAGGCGAAGTGAAGAACCAAAGCCGACCATTCTCTCTTTTGCTGTACGGTATAGATAGTCACTAGCTATCTTGTCAAGTCACCTCTTTCTTCTTCCTTAGCCTGTACAGGTATCGCTAGTATGGATCACTATAGCTACGATATTGAAAGTACAGCAGCAGAGGGGATCATGGTCTCACTTGTCAATTTTTGACAGACAGCAGACATCAACGGCGATCGAGTTCAAGATCCAAGATTCATCCATGAACCCTAGCCTTAGTGTAGTAAAGGAAAATCCACTTCTCACCGACATCACCATCCTCCCGACACCCTCGCATCAAACCCCCTCAGATCTCCTTGCCTTCCACCACCAAGAAGATGAGATTATTCCTACTCCAACTACATCCCTGTCGACGACTGCCACGACAGTTGCTCCTCCATGGGCGCCAATGGAGCACTTGTGGTGGTGGACAAAGACTCTTTTTTGCCAGCGCCAGTCCAGCAGCAATCCATTGGTCCTTTCCCACACCCCCACCGCCCCCCACCGCTTCTGAATTGCAGGACCAAGGCATTCCAATATTGCACCAGGCGGCCAAGGTAGCATCCGCGGACAAAACTAGAATTCTTCTCAGCGAATGGAAACACGAACAAGATGGCACTGTGGAAACGGTCAGTTACAGTCAGGTTCTTGCCAAATCGAGCCTGTTTGCACGGTATATACTTCAGCAACAACAGCAAGAACAGCAGCGGAAGCTAGTGGCTCACTTGAATGTTCCGGGGTGGGAGTACGTGGCGACGCAGTGGGGTGAGTACACTATTAATAGTCTATGTATGTATAGTTAGTATGTCATGTGATTGATTGCCAACCCCAACTTGCCATACTCTTGTGTTGAAAATAAATGGGCAGGAGCCTGGGCCGCTGGCTATGGATCGGTTCCATTGGCATTGTCTCAGACAGCCCCCGAAATGGAACATGTATTGACCCAAGCCAATCCACAATTCATTGTCCTGGGAGGAAACTGTCGCTTGAGCGGCAGTAACACTACCGGTAAATCCATCCAGCATCCAACCAGGCAACCACCCAATGCCAAGGCGCTACTGCAAGCTGCCGAAAACCTTGGAATGACGGACCGAGTAGTGCCGTTTGAAACTGTTGTTTCGCAGAAACCTGACGTATCTGAAAAGGACTGGATGCTAGGAAATGGTGGCGTACTACAATCGTTGGATGAACCAGCCTTGGTGCTCTTTACATCCGGTACCACAGGAAAACCCAAGGCAGCCGTCATTACCCATCGGAACATTTATCATCAAGTAACCGATTTGGTGGCGGCATGGGAATGGCAATCGTCGGATGTGGCATTGCATTTACTGCCGTTGCATCATGTCCATGGAGTCATCAATCTACTTTCCTGTGCGGCTTTTGTTGGAGCAAGATTGGAATTTCAACCGTTTGATGCCACTGCACTTTGGAATCAGTGGGCTCAGCCATCATCATCGTCCGTGTCTTTGCCCCCCACCAACATTCTCATGGCAGTTCCTACCATTTATGCCAAGCTACTAGAAGCAGCCGATACTCTACCACAGGAAACGGTCCAAAAGGCCGTCGACAACACGTTGAGTTCCATGCGATTGCAAGTGTCGGGGTCGGCTGCCTTGCCCGTATCCGTGTTGGAACGATGGAGGAACTTGACTGGTCAGACACTGTTGGAGCGATATGGAATGACGGAATTTGCAATGGCGCTTTCCAATCCGTATCGAGAAGACAACACGGTACAACAGCGTCGACCGGGGTATGTTGGCCGACCACTCCCGTCGGTGCAAGTGCGTTTGGTGGATACGGACACTCAAGAGGTTATCGAAACGGAAGGAGTGAGCGGAGAGCTTCAGGTCAAAGGACCTACCGTGTTTCAGGAGTATCTGAACCGAGAGGACGCGACCAGGGAGGCATTCACAAAGGACGGCTATTTCGCCACGGGTGATATTGCACAGTTTGATGGTGGAGAGATTCAGTCCTACAGAATCCTAGGACGAGCATCGGTGGATATAATCAAATCCGGTGGTCACAAACTGTCGGCGTTGGAAATTGAACGAGAACTACTCGAGCACCCGGACATTGCCGAAGTGGCCATTCTGGGGATCCCCGACGATGTATGGGGAGAACGCGTAGCCATGGTTTGTCGCTTGAAAAAAGCGGATAGTGAACCACTGACGCTAGAGGGATTGCGGGAGTTTTGTGGGCCTCGCTTGTCCAAGTACAAAGTGCCGTCGCGACTGCAGGTGGTTTCCGATATTCCCAAAAACGCAATGGGGAAGATCAATAAGAAGGGGCTGGTCAAACTGTTTGATTGATGATGATGCATAGAACGATAGAACAGCACGTCAATCTACAAATTTGCATGACATTTGCAACGCCATTGTCACGGGTTGCACTTGGGGTACACTGGCGAAGGTTACCGCAAGCTTCGAGTTGACCAACTTGAAGCTTCAGATTCCATCGCCATGAGATGCGGTGAAATTCTGCACACCATGCGGAACTTAGGCCATGAACCACGCTTCCTTCGAGAGGCTCAAAGACCATTCTATCTATCTAGCTACTAGTCCCCTACTAGAGTGCAAGGGTTGGGATACTCTTGGCGGGAATACGACCGCTCCGTTACGCGATAGATGCATGGTACTCTCGCATTGCCCGTCTTGGGGCAACTTCAATAGTTTCTCTGTGGGTGCGTCCAGATGCTTTATCGACTTTCATCGTGGTGTAGACTTCCGTTCAAAGTACGCGTTGGCTATTAGAGAGAGATGCATATTCTTTGCTCTGAGACGATATCATGAGGCAATAGGACCATGTTCGATGGAATGGTGGAAGCTGCTTCCACAGTACCGGTACCGTAGTAACTGTGCAGTAACATCATAATAATATCTTGATTGGCAAGTTCGACCATTCCTGCCTTCGGCTTCTTTGGGTATGCCTGCTGAATACATTACGGCACCTTAAGCCTACCTGGTACGCCGGAGGGGAAGTTTGGAGGCTATTCAAAACCTTACAGGAAGGCTCGGTCTAATCAAATTTTGGCTGTTTGTGCGAAGGCTTTTTCAACCCAGCTACGATAGCTGCTACGATCCGATTATCCGACGGTGGCTCATCCTTTATTTCAAAAGATCCAACATGCATACAGCGTATTACAGCGTCAGCACCAGCACATCAAACAGAAGGCAAATACAGAATGTTAAATCCAACTCTTGCGAGGACTGACGAAGTGGGAGATTTTGTGTGGCACCAATTCTTTGCTGGGAGAGGTGGTGGCAGTAGCTAGCCATTCACTTCAACCTGGCAATGGCCACCTTAGAATTGCCGTGGCAACTTCCTCTACTTACAGCTATTGAGAGTGACCACCAACGAACGCATCTGAAGAAGCAGCGACACTCCATCTAAATCATTTCGTTGTTGGGGGTGTTGAAGCAACTGTTGAAGAGGAACGCTGTCTGGTGCCGATGGCGCCAATATCAGCGAGACGCTTGGTTGTTTCTATTTCTTTTGATGTATCTTCTTCGTTTGAGCGACTCAGAGGTGTGAGCCACAAATAATTATTTTAGATGGGTTAGCAGATGGGTTGATGCTTGATACGACCGGTCGACAGGTAGCTAGCAACGGTACCGTACCAGTACGGTACTGTAGCTCTAAATCATTTACTCGAGTATTTGCCTGGGGCAGTCATTAAGAACGGTCAGCGTTCTTTCAAGGAATGCCAGTTCACTTGCCAGTACAAAATTTTTCATCTTCTTTCCTAAACCCTTGTTGACCTATCTCAGAGCCAAGGAACTCCAGTTTATTAGGACCAAGGAAGCTAAGATTTAAAGTCTTGCTACATTTTGCACTGACGTGGCCTCCCTGGGTTGTCCACTTCCTGCAGGTCATCTCCTTGAAGATGACCCGTGAGAAACCATACCCAGTTTTGTTTCATACACTGTTTCAAGTTTCAAGACTTTTAAACTTGCTGGGTACGTACGTACGTACCTCGCACCCTGGCATACTAATACCGGTAGCCGCCAAAAGAGCTGGGTATGACTTCTGATGAGTCAAGTCAATTCCACCTCTTACTCACAATTTGCAAACTCAGCAACTCGAGAAGCCACAGCCACAGCCACTCAAGAAAAGCACCAACCTTGCTAACAATCTCAAATACCTAAAACTCATATCTCACCATGACAGCCGGACAATCTCAACAAGAAACCCCCACCCCACCCGCCCAGTTTGTGTGCCCCTTGACGAAAGAGATCATGACACAGCCAGTGATGACCAAGTATGGGCACTGCTTCGAAAAGAAGGCATTGGTCAAATGGCTCAACCGCAACAACACCTGCCCTTTGACCCATCAGGAGCTCTCTCTTCCAGATGTGATCTCCTACCGATCATTGGAACAGCAGATTATTGGATGGAAGAAGCTGCACGGAGTCGCCGATGCTGCCGCTGATGTCGGTCGCCAAGAACCCGTTTTGATTGCTGGAAACCACAAGATGCTCGCGCAACGACGAGATGACAGAATGGTGGAGCAGGTGTTGGACCTCATGCAGCAACAGAATGGAAGCCCCAAATCAGGAAAGAAAAACAAGGACAAGTCCATGTCTCTCACCAAGATGGTACGAAAGACTCTCCTCGGAAAGAAGGAGCAGTCTGCATCCGCAGCATAAAAAGATCGGATCCATTTGATGCAATGTACATAGTGCACCAAGGCAACAACAGTTGTACATAAATTGCCTTGTAATATATAAACGAAACTATTACGCTACCATCTTTACCAAGTCCAATACATGTAGATTGCTCATCTCATTCCTCGTTTTCGCGGGTTGGCGCCGGATTATTTGTTTGGGAAAGGAAAAGTAAGTGTGAGTTTTTTACAGCACAGTGAATCGCCAGCTCAGATTTAATGAGTGGTACCGGTGTTGGTTCTCAGTCATGCCAGAAGCACGCGAATCCACTTCGGGAATTCTTTGTGCGTTCTTTGCAAATCTTCGGTTACGCGCTTGCCCTGCCGTTCCCGGTACCACCTAATGAGTTGAAAGGTTGACTGCAAGGGAAGCCACCCCTCAAACTGTCCTTTATTTTAAAACTCGTTCGGTAGACCTCACGAATTTAGAAAATCCACCTATCCTCCTATTAATACTCTAAACCCCCTCTTTCGGGTTTAGAGTACCAGGTACAGCTTCAACAGCTCGAGCGACAGAAATAGAATAGCCAAGCACAGCTTAAGAATCCAAAACTAAATGATGTACATTTACAGGCAAGGGACTCATATGGTTGTATGATTGATTCCAACTGTGCAGGGACAATCACAACCACAAAGTCTTTCCGTGCAATCAAAGGTGAGTGAACACGGCAAACTCCATTCCCCATATGGAGGAATGTTAAAAGTATTTTTACAAGCCTCATCCTGCAAGAAGCACAGGCCTTCTGGGATGGTACCGGAAAGCCCACTTCCTTCTAGAAGCAAATCACCTGTTAAGCGGGACAACTCAGGTGGAATGGACCCAGTCAAGAGCGTTATATTGGACAGATCCAAGTGCCAAAGCTTGGTAAGGAGGCCCAGTTCAGAAGGGATTGAGCCTGAGAGGCTATTATCATGTAAAGAAATCCTTTCCAAAGAGGGCATCCTACCAATTTCAGTTGGGATCCGACCAGTCAGCAAAGTGCTATCCAAAAACATCGCCTCAAGGGTTTCCATCAATGCTATTTCACTTGGAATCCAGCCAGACACGAAAGTGCGGTCAAAGGAAAAAGCATCTGCATTAGACAGAGTTCCAAACTCGGTTGGAATGGGGCCAACCCAAGGGTTTCCGGACATCCAAAAAGTGCCTACATTGGTAAGGCCTGCCATCTCAGTAGGAATTGTACCAGAAATATTGTTGCTGTTCAAATTGAATTGACCTTCCAGGCCAGTGAGGAGACCAATCTCAGTTGGGAGACTTCCTGAGAATGAGTTCCTGATCAATTCCAGGCTTGTCAAGTTGGCAAATAGCACACCCACATCCGTTGGTATGGTCCCTCCAAGTCCATTGGCTATGTCAAGTGCACGGAATGTTCCCAGTTCAAGTACTTTTGGAGCGAGCATGTCAAACAGTGTTACTTTGGTGCCAAGTCCAACAAGTCTGAGAGATTCCAATGATGTGAGCAATCCAATCTCTGGTGGAACAACTGGCTCTAAACCTTGAAGACCCAGTGGTCCTGGCCATAGTTTGGTCAACTGGTCGCGATCATTGCAATTTACAAGTGGTATTTGAAAAAAGTCCTCATAATAAGTGCCCTCCCCTTCATCCCCTGTGTTAGCAAGGCCATCTGGCCCCCTGTAAAAACTGCCAAATGCTTCTGAAAACCACAAGCACTCATCCATAGTGTCGACCATCCACCGCTCCTTGATCGGCCACCACCAGTCCGCACCCTCCATGGAATAGAAGAAGGTGGCCATCGCAAATAGTTGCATCTTTCTCCACTCTGGCAAATTCGTAATGTTTTGATGCCTGCCAACCCAATCAAATGCTTTCCACTGTGGAGTCCCGTAAGTCTCGAGACTTTCCTGAGTTTCCACAGGTAGGTTGCTCCAGAGAAGGCCAAGCACTCCAGTTGGAGCCATGGATGGCACCCCTGATGGCTCCATGGATCCATAGGCTGTTGGGGCGGCTGTTTGGATGACAACCTCATCTCCCTTGTTACTTGTCCCGGCAACAGTCCCAATAATAGCGGCAGCAGCAAGAACAACCAAAATCAGAATAAACACAAAGGTTTTTTGTTGCTTTTTCTGTTGCAGTTCTTTTTGCTCTCGCTCGGCCAGATTGACTGGATTGGCTCGAGTCAGATTCTCAACATCATCATCATCGATTGCATTCGCCTGGACCAAACCCTCATGATTGTCAGCATTGCTTGGCATGAATTCATTGTTGGGTTCTGGTGGTGTAGCGACAGGAGTGTTGTTGTACAAGTGCGCATCAGGACCATCTCTGTGGAAGGCCCCAGGCTGAGCCGTGTCTGCCGAGCCATGGTGGCGTAGCAGTTGTGGGAGTGGTTCCGTTGCTGCAGCTGCAGCTGCAATCAAGTGAATATGTGGATGGTGAACATCTTGAGCATTTTCTGGTTGTACTGCAATTTCTGCACTTGGCTGGTTTGGATCATTACCAGAATTTGCTGCAGTTTCATGTTTTTCCATTTTGGCAGCCTCGTTGAATCCCATCGCCAACTGCATGAATTGGTTGCTAGCAGTGTTAGTCATGATTTCGTCTCCTTTTAGTTCTTCTGTGTTTTCCACTTGATTGGCTTCTCCTAAAGCCTGCTGCTGCTTATGCTGGTTAGCTTCCGCAGATGAGCTTCCAGGGACCGTCTTTTTGGCTGGCAGTTTCTTGACAGCTTCTTCTTCTTCTTCTTGCTGGGTTTTTGCAACTGTAATTTTAAGGTCTTGTTGGCATTGTAAGGCTTCTGCTTCCGCCCTTTTCACAAGGGCGTCCCTTACCGCTGGGTCGAATTGATCGCCTTCACTGATGTCTGAGACAGCGGAAGCCGCACCATCAGCGCTACCGGTGCCAGTACCGGTACTACTAGTAGTGGAACGATTGCCCTTTCCTCCTTTCATCTTGCTTGCTTCTTGCTCTACTTGCTCTACTTGCTCTACTTCTACCACTGCCGCGTGTTACTGTACAAGAAAAGTAAGTCTGATTGTCCCAGCCAAATAAAAAATAAATAGCTTCGAATTATGACCTTGATCATGCAGGAGGTTGGGTACGGTATGACTGTGTACATGATGTGCAACACCTCACGTGTACGGATGTTCATGAGGCGAAGCGTTTGCGGGATTCGATTCGCTGTTTAGTCCCGGTTGTTCCGAGAACCCCGCCAATTCACCGCGCACAACGCCAGGGTCAAAAAGCACAACAAAGCCATGGGCAACACCCACAGCGTCAACAATGGCGACGGCGTTGCCACAGTCCTGTCGTCGCCTCAGTCTCTTACTCATCTTGGCAGTCGCTACTGCTTTCCGTTTGCGTCGTCTCCACCCAGCAGCGTGAAGAGCAATCATGGAGACGACAACAACCCTTCCGAAAATAACGGCGGTGCAGTCGCCCATGATCACGAGGACGACAAGGATGACGAATCATTCTTTTCATGCAAAAAGGACGAACGTTCTGCTAGTAGATCTCCCGTAGTTTTCTTTTCTCCTGCGTCTCCAATCCCATCACCTCGGCGTCTCGGCTTTCGCAACAGCAGCAACCGTCAAACCGATGACACCTCTGAGTCCCACATGAGTCGGCATCACGGCACGGAGGATGATCCAGACGAGGAGATGCGCACAGAAGAGGAAGGAACAATCGAACATAAAAGTGGAGAAGAAGAAGGACGAGATGGCCTTGTTCCACGCGTATTGCCCCATCAGTCGTCTCCTCCTCGCGGTGGCCAGCATCCATCGGGCAATCGTGCGACCTGGGGACCTTCAACGCCAACGGGTCCATTTCCTTTCTTGGCTTCTCCACCGGTATCATCACGGCATGACCATGATGCAATCTACGGGGAGGACAACGAAGAAGAAGTCGTTGAAAACAGAAACTCGTCAGAACTCGCGGTTGAAAACGAGAGTGAGGCGGCTTTTTGTCGTGCTGCAACGCAAGCGGAGAACAATGCAGTAGAATCTCCCATGAGCCCACCATCCGTACAAAAGCGCAGCACAGTGGATGCCTCCTCAGACAAGGATTCGCTTCCTTCGGAAATTTATGTGACCGAGACATCGCCGGATGATCAGAACTCCACTGACCTCGGTTCTCCCCAATCGATCCAAACGGAAGGCTCCGATGATGACTCTGGCGCTACCGTAGAACGAGCATCTTCTGTCCAAGGGACGAACTGGGATCAGGCGAGTGTTGGCAGCGAGAACAGTACATTTGCAGATAGCTACGACGAAAAGGATCCACGAAACCTCCATTCGAAAGACAAGAGTCCCGCGTTTGGAACAACACGAGCATTAGTCGCGGTCAAGGCAGCAATGAAGAAGGAAATTGGCCCAAGCAATGACGCAAACAACACCAACCATGAGCTAGCGCCTGTAGAGCGTCCAGATATCTTGTTTGACGAGAGTTCTACAGTTCTCAGTTCGAAGAAGATGGCGCCAACCCGTCGAGACAAAGGCACATCCAAGACGGCGAAGGAGCAAGCTTTGAAGCTTGAACGCCACTTTGACTCTTCAAATTTTGTCCAAAGAGAGGATGACCACGTTGTGGAAGCTGCGAAGAAGCTAGGTGCCCATGCAAAAGTGAACTCGGCAGAGGCGACTCAACAAGCCTCTGCCAAGAGCACTTCTATCCAGCCTGTCCCATCGAAAAGCTCCCAAAATGGAAAGCCTGAGGTTATCTTACGACGGGTCAATGCCGAAGTGACACAAAATGCCAAGCGTCCCAATCAGCATATGCCAAAGAAGCCAAAATCTAGGAAGAAGCGCAGGATCCTTTTTCAATCAGAATCGGAAGGTGAAGAATTGGTTCAAGACATCAAAAACAGTCGTGCCATATCCAACAACGTCAAGATCAAAGGGGCAGCTCGCAAGGCGAAGAAGGAGCCAACCACTTTGCTTGAACAGTACCCACAACACCGCTACAAAGAGATCGCGATGAAGATCGGGCATCCAATGATATACCCACAGCAGAATCCTCGTCGTGAGAAACACACCCACGGCCGTCGCCCCTCACATGGGCGGTAGCTCTCCGATCATGATACCGAGAATTTCATGATGGCCATTCGGGAGTGACAAACAAAAGAAAACTGTAGTAAGCCTTTAGGCAAATAAAAGTATTATTTGGGACATGACGAGACTAAGGATTTTGAACAAATGTAGGGCTGCGATTTCCAAGCGATTTCCACGATGAGGGTATGGCGTGGAAACTGTTGGGAGTGAAATTCAAACGACCTTGTCAGTGGCCAGCAATCCTCTTTGCTATCACGGCAATGAAGAATGAAGAATCTATCTAGCCACCAATGGCGATGAGAGCACTGCGGAAGGCAGCGATGCGCTTGACGATGGGCCAGTGGTTTAAGTTTGTTTCTCTGGGAGCATCAACTCACACAAAACCGTACAACGGCAGCATCCGAGGAAGGACAATCAATGGGGAGCAAAATGGCGCGACTAAAGAAACATTGGTTTTCCATCCTATCACCTGTACCAATGCCGATGGCAACCCCAATTGTCCACTTCCCATGGCAGCGACGGAACGAAATCGCCGAGCTGCGTTGAGAGATTCGACGGCACCTCAAGATGGTAACCCTACGAAAGTTCTGCCCTGTACAGCGGCAACAACCAGCGCTTCCTAATTCTAGTATGGTTCTACTATGGTAGCAGTGGTTATCCTACTGTGTAGTCAAGACGAGATATCATTCGGAACGCTACTCAGCTACGTGCAGCAGCTGACACTGTGGCCGTCAAATTGAACATGCCAGTAGTCAGAGAACGAACATCGGCGCACATTGTTCAAACCAAGTTGGATCGTACCTTTGTCGCGCAATCCTGTTCAGTTGGGGCGTTGATCTGGGAATAGATGTCAAGGAGGACTCTGTAGATGGTTGGAGGGAGGAAATGCCAACCCGAGATGATGGGGGCAACCATAAGGAATCCAAAATAGAAGAAAGCCACAGAACGTTTTGAGACATACGGGGAATGCACCGAAGAAGGCAGAAAAGAGACAAAGCTGGCTAACAAAAAAGACTGCATCATGGGGGCCAAATCTGCTGAAGTCCATCAAGATTGGGAATATTCGAGGTCAAGTAGTTTGTTGATATCTTGCAAGGAGAATAAAGTGACCAGGAGTCCGGATCACAACCTCTGACTATTGAACCAAAGTTCGAGGCAGCTACTTTGTCCTCCCAGCTGATGATCCAACATGTATCCGCCAATCAAGAATCACACATGCACCCCCAGCAAACACAAAGCTCATGATTAAGCTGGAACATATGAGACACAGTTTACCGCTTGGAGCCTTGCTTCAAAAATTGGCATTATACCTTCAAACCATTCAAGTTCATCATGAACAGGAAGAACAACCCCTCGGTAGCCACCAGGTGTATCACCTTTCCGTGTGTTGACAAAATCAATATCTTCCAACACCTTTCCCCCAAACCAGCGATGGAAGAGACACATGCTTTCGGCCCATCGTCCTGTAATACCAAAAAAGAAACGTGGTTGGCTGACTCGTTCAATGGCAAGCGAAATGTTGAGTGGTCCCATCTTTTTAAGCTGTTGAGGACGTTGCTTGTGGCAGTGATGGCCCAGCACCATTTTTAGCTGGCAATTGAAAATATTTGGTTCCTGTATGTATTCCTCAAATGTGGATTGGTGCTTGTCTGGATTTGTACTGCCATGCCGACCAAAGTTGTAGGCACTCCAAAGTCGTTCAATTGGATTTCGAAACATTGTCATTGTAAAGAATTCTTCGTTGGGGCGACGTTCGATGTATGGGTGATGATATCCTGGATTTGGCATGTTATAGAACATCAAGTCCTTGTTGTAGCACCACTTTTCCGGGGGGTAGTTTTTTAGTAATGCTAGATCTGACAGGCGGGCCTTTTTCAGCTTGCCATTAGTGGCTTGTTGTTCCGCTATCAAAGCAGCTGGGCAGAAGCGAAAGAAAATGGCCATGAAGAAGCTGCCCCCTGTTTTCTGGACATGCATCCAGTAAATGCGATGCACTTTTGACTGATGAAAAAGAGGTGGTGCTTCGAAATCTGGCAAGTTGGATTGGGAAGAAATCTGGGGTGCAGCAGTGACGGTGATTTCTTGTACAGAAAGTGAATTGGATGAAGAAGTTGTGGAATCATCTTTGGTGGATACAGCATCTGTTGTGTTGCCATCAACCACTTTCATTTTTGACCATTTCGAACTTTCAGTTTCATAGCTGGGTAGGAGGCTCCATCGATAGCAAGCCAGGGCCACAAGCACTGCAAAAACTAAGTGCGTACATATCAACACCAATACTTTGCAACGCATTTCCTCTCAATTCGCAATGTTGCGCTGTGGGGAGGGACTGTTGTTCAATGCTGGCATCCCCCGATCCGCGTTGTTGGTGACAGAGCGGCAATAAAGGTAGAAACTGTTGTAATAATAATATAAAGAAGAATGCGACTCCAATCACACTTCCTTCCATCCCTTTGTTGTTTCCGTGATGGCATGCTTGCCCCCAAGCCAAGACTCTCTTACAAGCCTTTCTTCTGCTACTGCCTCCAAAACTCATTTTCCTACTCTCAAATGATGTTCTTCATGCAGACCCATATCTCAATTGCCCTTGTGAAAGCTACCCATTTATGTCTCCGTGGATCCCGCAAAGCCAACCCTTTGCCCCCGTAATGTCCTCAATTTTGCCCCTGATCCCACAGAACTAGTCCTGAATTTCGACTGTTCTTTGCTTAAGCCTGGACCTGGCTGGCTTTCGTAGATATTTTCCCTACTCTAAAACCCCCCCTTATAATAAGTGCACTACGCTAAAAGCTAGTGTAAAGATCTTTCGAGTGTTTTGAGTTTGAGAGAATGAAAGTATGAGAGGATTAGAAAGCTATGAAACTAATCAACGAGAGAGATCCACAATCAAAGGATCGTAGATCTGAACTCCCGCGGGAGACTGTAGAGTGTGATAGAGTAGGTTGCGGTAGCAATCCTACTCACTCCACATCAAAAACGGAACGCGTGGAAGATTCGTCTAGCATTTATCTAGTAGCGTGGAAGTACTCCCGCTGGCTAAATATCTAGCGCGATGTTTCAACATCAACCTAGTATGACTAGAGCGGTCATTGAGAACCCTGTCTCAATAACTATCACGAGAGACTCAGTCAGAGTCGAACTCAAACCTATCTAGGATCGAGTCGCGAATAAGGCTAAGAGCCGTGTATTGCATTCGCCCCCTGACAAGGTCACGGAGGCACGAAATCAGTCGGACAGGAGAAAATATGAATTAAGTGCGGGGCTCTCTCGAGATTTGATTTAGACATGTGCGTCGCACGATGGCAATCCTACAAGGGGATCAGGCCTTGTATGGGGTAAATACCTTATGTTCCAAGTCTGGTAGACTGTGCCGCTTCTGGCGGTAGTATGTTGGAGGCCGTCAGTGCCATTGTTATTGACTCGGTCTGTGTGGTAAGGACCTTTGTGCGTTGGCTGGCCGTACTACGGTTCTGATACTGTGAATCATCATAGTATCGTTGACATGGTGTTGATGAGGGACAGTGTCGTTTCTCCTTTCGGTGTTTTTCTGGATAAGTCGTTGGCGACGTTCCTTAATGTATTTCGGTTTGCTTTGAAACGGATGTGGTGATCTTGTCACGATTGACGCGCGTTAACTTGCGCGAAGTCCACGTTCATTCCGGAGGTCTTCTCGACCTCTGCGCGGGAATCACGTTCCTTCCATGACAACCAGTCATGGATACTGGGTAACCACGTCTGTTTCAGAACGATGGTTACTCCGTCTGCTGTCTTGGAGCAGCCCTTGGTGTTCATTGGTCCAATGAATCCACGAAGTTCCTTCCTGTTGGTAGGAGAGCGATAGTTGGACGCATCTATTATCTTTTTAGTTAGGGTTGGATTCCTTCTCGAGTAGTCCAATTGTTTAGATACTCAAGTTCTTCCTTTCGAGGAAGGCCTTGGTAGTGTTGATTTTAACCCGACTTCTTGAAGTCTTTGGAAAAGGTCATCTAACATTCAACGCGATCCGCCAAATCGACGTCAGTTAGGATGAGTTGATATCATGTATGCACGGACATTTCTAAGTCATGCATGCGTTTTTTCATCTTCCTTTGGAAGATGTCGGGACTATTCACATAGGCCCATTGGCAACCTCTGGTACTCGTGCTTTCCCCTCGGGAGTGCAAATGGTACAGTGTTGCTTCGGGTGAGGTGAAAGCTCGATGTGGTAGTGTTCCGTGTTCAGGTCTAGACTAGTAGCGACCTGAATCCATCTAGGTTCAAGACATGTCCTGTATTTTTGGATAGGATAAGGTTCCGCTTATCCTTTTGTTCGTTCCGAATCAGAGATGAATCTTACAGATCCCTCTTTCTTGGGAATGATAAAAGTTGGTGCCGCCCACTCGGAACGATTCACCTTCTTGAGTACTCCTGCTCGCAGAGACGTTCAACCTCCATTTTAAGAGTGTTGGTATGGGACCGTGGAGTAGGGTGAGCTTAGTCATAATAGATTTAGCGTCGGGACGAAGTTCTACTTCGTTGTCGTCCATTCGCAACTCTCCAAAGTATCCTCGACTCTGGGCGAAGCACTTGGTTGAAAAGGCATGAGGCATTCTTGCTCTTCCTTATTAACTGGTTTCGCTCTGGCACATCTGCCTTTAGTCCTTGTTCGTATGTCGTTTCAAGATCTTCTTGAGACTATTTGATTGTCGCTGACAGCTGCAGGATTGGAAATGGAGAAGTTCTCCTTTCTATCGGTATCGCCATCTTTCGCAGGGAAAAATAAGCTGTTCCACTCCATTGACATGGTAGTGAAATCAAACTTGATTCTTAGGTCGAAGAGAGTGTCTTGACCTATGATCATGTCTTGCCGCCCCCAAGTTCTTGGTGACGTGTAAATTCCATTCGATTAATTCTATTATCGTGGAACTCAGGATCACGAGTGTGCCCTTAAACTTGTGCGGGGTTTCAATTCCTTCATAGAAGCAGTCCGTAATGTTGGACGCCCCATGATTCTTCATGAGTTAACTCTTAGCATGAGGTTTGAGTAATTAAAGTTCCGGATGCTCCTGTATCCAGTAAGCAACAGATGTAACGGGTTTTTGTTTCCCTTTCTCTCGTCTGTTAAATCTAACATCGAGGTCTCTTGTCTTGCGACGTTGATGAGTTGATTGGCCATGGACGGAGCTAACGATGCTGAAAAGATCGTCAGGGTCTAGTTGAGAGTTGTTGGCAATTATCTAATTTGCGTAGACTTCATTAGTTGCAAACAAATTTTGTTTACTATTTAGTGAGATATCTTCATCCTTAGGTATGAGAAATCGGAACATGGTTCCGTTGAATCATCATCCTGGCCTAACCTCAGACGGAGATCTCTCCATCCGAATGATTGAAGTCGAATTCGGCAAGCGCCTTGTCACGGCAGCCATTTTCTTGTCCATCATGTTGATGGATCCAACAGAGGAGTTCTCCTCGTTGTCGGAGTTGTCTGACTTGCGCTGGCAACATGGTTGCATTCGCTTTTCTCTTGCGATCAGCCTTGACCGCAGCGTTGGAAACTTTCTTCATGAGGAACGAGAGTTCCTTCTTGGTGTAGGTCTTGGCGTCGTCGGACTGCGTTTCCAAGTCTTTTCTTGTTGTACGCTGGCTGTTATCGTTGTCAGACGAGGACTGAGACTTGGCCTTGAGCTTCTTCAGGGTCATGCAGTCAGCAGTGTTGTGAGTGCTGGACTCGTGGTAGTCGACCATTTTTCTTCGTTCTTGGGAAGTGGTCGTTGTTGCGAGTAGTTGTACTTCTTGCTGTTGTTCTTCTTCGTAGGAGCTTGCTTGGCATCACCGCCCTTGTCAAAGTCTTCGGAGGATTCCATGCGTTCGCAGAATCCATGGTTTCTCCGATAGGAGCTGGAAAGGATCGAAGTCGTGTTCGGTCCATCTTCTTCATCCACAGCGTGGAATTCCATGACAAAACAATGTCAATGACTTCGTCATGGTTCAACGTTTGGTTGGGTCCAAAAGGTGGTAGACAGGAAGTTCATCGGCGTTCATCCGACTGAGGTTGTTGACATTAGCCGAGTAGACATATCAGCAAGCTTACGCATCTTGCGGCGCATGAAGCGTTTCTGCTTTTCAAGAGCCTTGTAGGGACAGACCGCTCGACACAGGCATTTATGCCAAACGTAATTGTCAGTGTCGTCAAAGCAGGCTGAGCTGCTCCGTCCCAGGCATTCTGGAAACGTGCTTGGAAGTGGCTTCGTCTTCACCGCCACGATGTCGCGTGGAGGAATCGCGTTGACTGCAATCTGGCGCAAGGCATTCCAACGTATTTACGTGGCCTGCACAGTAGATTCGTAACTGCTCTGGCAGAGCTAGAAGTCATCTCTTTGAGGAGGTTATGTTTGTCGTAGCGTAGCAATGGCGAGCCCGACGAAGACTTCTCCATGCGTCCAGCCCACTTGATGGTCTGACGTGGAGTCTCAGATCCATTGATGATTTGGACCTTGAAGGTGACTTGGCGCTGTTAGCATCTGCTGGAACAGTGCGAAGTTTGTAGGTGGTAGAGCGAGAATCGTCGATTTCGCATTCATCGTCGAGGTCGATGAGAGGAAGGATTGGTTTGTCGCGCAGCTTAGACTCGAAGCTGGTGTATGCGTCTTTGGCAATCTTCATGGTGAGGAATAGGTTGAGGGTAGCTGAAAGCTATTGTGTTTGTTAACAAAATGCACTACGCTAAAAGCTAGTGTAAAGATCTTTCGAGTGTTTTGAGTTTGAGAGAATGAAAGTTATGAGAGGATTAGAAAGCTATGAAAACTAATCAACGAGAGAGATCCACAATCAAAGGATCGTAGATCTGAACTCCCGCGGGAGACTGTAGAGTGTGATAGAGTAGGTTGCTGTAGCAATCCTACTCACTCCACGATCCAAAAACGGAACGCGTGGAAGATTCGTCTAGCATTTATCTAGTAGCGTGGAAGTACTCCACGCTGGCTAAATATCTAGCGCGATGTTTCATCATCAACCTAGTATGACTAGAGCGGTCATTGAGAACCCTGTCTCAATAACTATTCACGAGAGACTCAGTCATGAGTCGAACTCAAACCCTATCTAGGATCGAGTCGCGAATAAGGCTAAGAGCCGTGTATTGCATAAGGGCTATGGAATTAATGAATGGTGGGACACTAGCTAGGTGACGCAAGCCTGTAAATAACGCAGCAGTCCAAAGTGGCCGGCTGGAGCGTAGGCATCAGCGAGGACAGGGTTCCTAGAACCTGACTGGTGTAGGGACCGGGTTGCTAATGTAGTGGTACGTACCAGGGAAGTCACACTCGGAGCCGAGTGAGTAAGCTTGAAGGAGATCCAAGAATTTCATAGCTTACCCCCGTGTGAGTCTGAAGTATAACGTCTAGTTCTGTTTGCGTTGAAGCTAACGGTGTGAAAGTACGTAAAACATTAAGGTGGTGGAGAATGTGGTGAACAGATTTTTTTTAGGGTTAAGATTCTTTTGCTGCTGCGCTGCCTAGCATATGTGTGACTCCGTCATTTCTTAGTTTTTTGGTTTGAGTTTTTGAATTTGGTTTGAGTGTTTGCACAAGATATGGATACAGTAATGTTGTCTGGGTGGTAACAATTCCAGTCAGGACCTTAGGAATGTTACCATTTTTGAATCCTATGCCCAGTGGGCATGAGTTTCAGGGACGGGTGAATGTGATTGTGTAAGCATTTTTGTGGAGCATGGGTTGTTAGAGGCAAGTCAAAGCACACCATCAAACGAAAACGAAAACGAAAACGAAAACCAAACAAAAGATGGAAAAGAAAGTAATAAACTGCCAAACCAGACTACCAAGCCAAATACATTATCTTTCGAATCTGGTGCCCATTGGGCATGCTATTCAATAACCTTAACCCTATTACTTCAATGTACCTTAAATCCACATTTCTATGCAGTCATAGTTCATCTTAAGTATGTCTTGCCACCATCTACTTAAAGGCAACTTGCAATAAGTCTATAAAAAGCCTTAGTTTGACCAGTAACTGTTTTCCAATGGCATGCTCTTACTATTATATCATCATGTATATTATATAAATCTAAATAATGAACATGCTTGCCTAAGTAAATATCCAAGTTTTGCCTATGTCACATTTTGGATAAAATGTATCTATATCTGACGACTTTTATGCATTAAATAGGACACTTGCCTTTTTGGCTGGCTTTCTGCATTAAATTTCTCCAGCTACTAAGATACGGGTAATGCTCGATTCAGCTGAAATGCCAAAATGCTACAAAATTTGCTAAATACTCAAAATGATAGTTCTAGGCGCCACATCACCAGACAGACCCACACAGGGTTGAATAGATGCATGGCTAACTGAGTGGAGAGGTTCAAGGGGAGGGAGTGGCGAGCCCAGCGTGATGGGGAGTAGGAGGAGCTGCAGAGAGAGGGCTGCAGAAAAGTGCTTGTTCGCATGTGGGAGGAGGCCTTTGGGGGCAGACTGGAGCTGAGAATAGACTTGGGCAAAGTGCGAAGGTGGGAGAGGAATAGGCGGAGACTCGCCACCCTAGAGGAACAGGTGGGCAAAGGAGCCGAGGCCAAGGAAATGATCAATAGTGAAGGGTAGGAGAAGGACACCTGCGGCAACCATGGCTTGAAAATAATCAGCATGGGGCACGTTGTGCTTGGTGGTGAGCTTGGATCTGATTACTTGGTGATGGATCTTGGTCAAAGGGGGTAGTTGAGTGGCAGATCGGTCGGTCGCTAGGCAAATCAGGTGGGCTCGCTACGGTCACATCAGTGGCAGAAAAGACGCCGCAGGGGTGGGTTGTGGGTTAAGAGCAGATGGTTGGAGGGCAGTACCAATGTTGGCAGGGCACTGGTTGGGGTAATTGTGAGCATGGAGAAGGCCGACAGTTTCACAGGTGACACCGTGGGAGGAGTAGGTGAAAGAGGCAAGGGGGGTGAGGTGAGAAGCAACTTGAAAAAGGGAGTCGCGAATACAATTACTGAGGCCCTTCTTTTAAGGCCCCCTCATTGAAAGAAATGATCATTGAAAGAAAGGATCACCAAACGGGTCGGGGATTTTGGGGCACCGTGCTTGGAGAGCCAGGGGCAGGATGGGGAGCCGGAGCTTGCGATGCAAGAGGAGCCAAACATACAGACAAAATTCGCAATGGCCCTACATCCGTTGAGGGCTACAAAGAAACTTTGGAATGGAAAACCAGGAATTGCACCACCATGGCAGCAGCATTGACCAAATTGGCCTCACAATGGCCTATAGCTTTATCAATACATTGATCTGGCCAATCCTTTTCTAGAAATAGCTCCCCAAGGCGCTCGCAGACAATCCCCTTGACAAGGATTAGCTACCAGGGAAAAGCAGGCTTGAATTTCGTTTTTATGTAATGGATTTCTCCATGGGAAAGGTGCTCCAGTCCTCACTCTCAGGACTCCATTTGGCTACTGCCGCTGCTCGGAGAAAGATACACCTTAATTGGTCTTGAATTTGGTGGGAGATTTGCATCGTTGCACCACTTGCAGTAAAGCTCCTTCTCTGCTATTGAAAGTTGAGTTTGGGAGGCACTTTGACGAAGTTCCAAGCGGACACGTTCAAGCACCACTGAGTTCAGCCTTTCCCAGTTGGACGTGGAGGGTTTGGCAAGGTCGGGTCGGCGGTTGCTATCAGCTCTGCTGCATACTCGGGGTATTGGTCAAACTTGGCTCGCACGCACAGATACATCGCTTTGCCCTTCATTTCTTCCCAGTCCTTTCTCAGTGGATGTTTTCTGGATTGACCTAGTTCCCAAGCACCAATGGGGGAAGATATCTCTTGAATTGCTCGACATTGATCCCAAGTCGCTCTCCCCCCGCTGTTCGGATCGAACTTGGAAGCTTGGAAGAAGTGCTCGCACGTGCGCCAAACAACTTCTTCTTCCTTTTCAACTCCTTCCTCGTCCACAATAACGCAACGCAAGATGATGGGCGCATGTAGAAAGTTGTCTGTCGACCTGAGGGTTCGTCCACCGGCAGAAGCAGGACCTCCCATGGTGGGCTGATACTGATACTGATACTGATACTGATACTGATGCTGATGCTGATGCTGATGCTGATGTTGATGCGACTCGACTCTCCAGAGGCTTGTGCTGCCAACTTCGTTGACCTCGGCAGGTAAACTGCCTGAGTTCTCAACGCCTTTAATGCTATTTCCTATTTCCTATTTCCTATTCCGGTGAAGCCAAAGTATAAGGATAGAGATAGTCATAAGCCAACAAAACTGAACATTGATGGTTCAATATAAGTTAGGGGTAGGAATAAATCATTAATATTTAAGGATAGTGCAATTAGCACAACAGCACAATAAGCCAGCAGGAGCTTTAAAGGTTAGAGTTACAATAAGGGAATGGCAGCTGGTAAATTATAGAGTAGCGGGCGGCAACACACGACGTAGTCGGGTGTTGTCGCCAGGGCTAGCTTAATAAAGAAGGTTGCAATAAGGGAATGAATGATACCGGGCGGCAACACACGACGTAGTCGGGTGTTGTCGGGTGTTGTCGCCAGGGCTGGCTTGAAAGATGGGTGCAATCTCGAACATGATCCTCCTTCTTCCATCTGTCTTTCTGCCGAGGTATCGCAGCTTCCGCTGACTTATTTTTGATGCCCCATACCGGTACCAGCAGGCAGCAGGGGCCCCACGCAGACGTCAAAATGTGAGCGTTTTTGACGGTTATGTTTCGGTTTTCGGAAATGGGAACCCGGAAGTGGTCATTTCGCGAATCGTGCTTGATTTGCCGCCAAACAGCAGAGCACCAAAGAATAACAAAGAACAAAGAAAAAATCAATTTTACCACCATGGCAACAGTGTTGGCCAAATGGTCTCTAGCTTATCCATTACATTGAAATAGCTAATGCTTTCAGAGAAGCAGCTCCCCAACACACTCACAGACACTCCCATTGAAAAGCATTAGCTATCTCCAAGGCTTGTCATGGAGCTCAGCAGAGAATTCCTGGCTGGATTGGTGGTTGATCTCCTTGCTGCCGACAAGGTAGACAATGTCTCTCCCTTCAAGGACTGTTGGTTGACCTGGTACCGGTACCGGTATGTGGGCCCGTTGGGCCCCAGTCGTGTCTGTCGTTCCGTACGGTACTCGAATTCCGTATGCTGCTTTTCGAGTTCCGTGAACTGCTAAATTCGCTACGAGTGTGACACTCGACGAGATCGTCCTTCCTTCGCACACTTGCAATTCACACAAACTTGAGAGGACAAAGACGCAAAGGCCCTCTCTTGCAAAAGCATTTGAAACGATGAAATTACTAACAGGATTCCTCGTGATGTCTCTTGTCGTTGGCTCGACCAGCCAAGGTTTGTATTTTGACAACGAAGACCAAACGGTGATCAAGCTCGCGGGGTTGTTTGACACTTCGAATTACGTCTGGGGCCCCGACGTCTTTGCAGTTACGGTCCAGCTGATCAATCAAGGATGGTGGGACGTCCTAAATCCAGGGGATCGATTGGAATACGACTTGCGAAACACAGCCTGCGACGAAACTACCGCAGTTCGAAGCTACTGGGGGCTCCGATCCGCCAATGGGAACAAACCTATGCATGGGATTATTGGAGCCCGCTGCTCTGGCGCCTCCATTTCTTTGGCTCGCGTTGCCGGCCTTGAGGCTGTTCCACAGCTCTCCCCTGCTAGCACTTCATCTTTGCTCTCCAACAAATATGAGTTCCCAAGCTTTTCGCGGATGGTCGCCCCAAACAATGAAAGAGGCGAAGGTGAGGCGTGGTTTCAACCAGCTTTTTGTTTGTCGTTGATCCGATTCGATTCGATTCCTTTGTTGTCTCACTTAATTTTTTCAGTTGGGGCATTGATTGCCATGATGCGAGTGTTTGGCTGGGAGCGTATTGGAATCCTTGCCACCGATACTCAATACGCCAAGGACTTGGTCAACGACTTGAGGAGCTCATGGGTAGGAGACCACGACGACTGGCTCGGCCAGGTTGCTTTTAGCGATGTCATTCGTCTCACGCAAGATGGATTGGTAGACGGTGACTCTGTGCTCCAGGTGCTTGAGAACATACCCACTGACCCAAGTATCACTTCTCGAGTCATCTTCTTGGCGGCCCACCAAGAACATGCGTTCGCAATCCTCAAAGAAGCGAATATACTCCTCAACCCAGAGACAATTTTTGTTGGACCGTCCTCCTGGGCTCCCCGAGATGATGTCAACAATCACGGGTGGCTTCCTCGCACGCCAGGATACCTCGGACTAGCACCCTTTCGCAATCGCGATCAGGTTTACGAGGATTTCATGAACGAGCTACAAAAGTATCAGCGCGAGAACGGAAAAGAGATCCTTGATGAACTGCCAACGTTTGCTGCCGAGACAGTTGATGCCATCCGGGCCATGGCGTATGCCATTGTGATGTCCGATGATCGAAGTGACGGTGACGCGGTTGTTCGGATTCTCCGTGAGCTAGTGTTCGACGGAGTCAGTGGCAAGGTTGCTTTCACAGCTGAGGGTGATCGAAAGGATCCAAAGTACTCTTTGTTCAACGTACAGCATGACGGCAGCAAGTTCGTCTGGAAAGACATTGGAGTAGCAGGCACAAATTTTAGCTCGGCAAACCTTGACAAGGGTTTTCAGGACGTCTGCTTTGCAGGGATGGGTTGTGGGCTGGCTCTACCACCAGACGACACCTACCCTCCTCTGCCCTACGAAATGCCCATTTGGGCGATCTTTCTGATCCTCTTCTTGATTGCCGTCCTGGTGGCTCTACTTTTTATGACAGCAAAGTATTACAGGAGTCGTCGATCAAAGCGGAACATCAAGGCAGAGTTGAATGCATTGCGTGATTCCGTAGTCGGCATGAGAACCGCAACATGCCAGTTCGTCCCAAAGGTTGTCCGGAAGGGAGGTGACGTTGAACAAGGAATGGGTGGAACTGTATCTGCTGCTCCAATCCAGACTCCGAAGTGGATGTGGCAGGAGACGTCGTACGCGATGAGTCAGCATGCCCCCGACACAATCTACGATGCCAATGATTGTTGGATACTTTACGCTGGCAAATGTAGCAAGAAGATTGAAGCTGCTTACACGAAGGGATCGAAAGACTACTCTCCCCTTCCAGGATACGTGATTGATTTTGCGAGTATGGAGCAGATAAAGAACTCGACAGGATACAAGCGACGTGTACAAAGAGTCCTCGAAGCTGATGGAGGTACTTCGAAAGCAATCGACCTACATGCAATCGAGTTTGGTGAGGAATTCCCAGCTGAATTGCATGGTGAGCCTCGAATGATTTTGTGTGAAGGCGACATCATCCAGATATCCAAGCAACGAGAGGATGACTTTGCATTTGGGCGAAAGGTTGGTACTGTATCGTTCGTTCGTGCTGCGCGTCCATCACCACTCTTATCACTCACGATTTGCTGCTTGCCACGGACGCAGCTTCACCAAACTGATGAAGCCATGGCGCGTCAACTTGTTGCTGTCGCCCTCAACGGGGCCTCGTCTGACGACGACATTATAACGACTGATAGTGGATGGTTCATGATGAGCAAAACAAAAATTTGTTCTAGTGACGACCTCGCCCCACTCCAGCAAACTGTTGGAGACTCCTCGGCTTTGGACGCGCCCAGTCACTGGGACAAAACATCAGATCCTTCAGTTGTGCAGAAGCACCAACTTCTTCCAGGTGACCATGAACGGATGGAAGTGGAGGCGGCCTTTCTGTCAACTCTCAGCCCCGGAACAAAGATTGAAAGAGTTGAAAGAGTTCAGCATCTCGCGATGTGGCAATCGTACGCGATCAAACGCCAGACGATTTGCAATCGAGCGACCTGTGAACCAAAGAGAGCTCTGGAGAGATTCGAACGCAAATGGCTCTTCCATGGAACGAACAAGGAGGTCATGGACAAAATATTGCAGCAGGGTTTCAATCGCAGCTTTTGCGGGAAAAACGCGACCTTGTACGGTAGGTTCATTTTACAGCCTTGGCAAAGAGATCTTTCAGTCAGTCAAAAGCAAGTCTAACCATCTGCTTTTGGCGTTGCAGGGAAAGGCGTCTACTTTGCGAGAGACGCGAGCTACTCAGCCCAAAAAACATACGCCGTTCCAGACCGACAAGGCAAGCAGGTAGGTTCACCATGGACTCGTCTCGTCTTCTTTGCCCCATTCCATTGTTTTTCCGTCCTATGCTGCCTCTTCTAACTTCCTTCAAAGTACATGATGGCTTGCAGGGTTGTAGTTGGCGAGTATTGCTACGGAAAGGTGAGCCACCAACTGATACCTGGTACATGCACCAGCATTGCAGCGCAGTTTCATTCCTTGCAGCGGACGCATAACCTCATTTAGTTGTGCTGTCGTTCTCAGACCAATGTTTTGACTCCAGATGTGCGCGATCGGAAGACGATGCAACTTTACGACAGCACAGTCGATTCCACCCTCGACCCGTCTATCCACGTTATATTCCACGATGCCCAAGCCTATCCTGAGTATCTGATTTCATTCAAGAGTCCGTAGAGTCATGAAGCACAAAAGTGGGCCAAAGAACCGCTGCAGATTCCAACTACATCCGGAGTGTGCCAAATTCAAAGAATGGAGGGTTATGACTGCGTGTCAGCTAGTCTAGTTTACAATTCCAAATAGATTATCATGTCAAAGCCAGGAGCACCAGTTGCTAGCTAGCTAGTGGGGCTTTTTCATAGTATCTTCACGTTTCGTTTGGTCGCGAGGCAGCTATTCGCTCATTGGCGGAAGTTTGATAGCCTCTGGCGCCTGTAACATCGAGGATCTCCAAAAATCTCTCGGCTGTCATGCCTACAAGTAGATTGTTCCCGTCAATCTCCGAAAGTGGCGGATACGTGAATGCTGTGACGTCCTCCATGTCTTTTCTGTAGTCGTAGCAAAGGAACTCAACAAGCCGATGAAAAACCTTCATTTCAGCATTGGAAGCAGCGTCCCGAAGGCGCGGCTTGCATTTGTTCGGGGTCTTGTTCTTGGGAAAGAACCAGAGCGCCCATGCACGCACCCGACACAAGTTTGCAAAGTAGAACTCCAGCGATGGCGGCTGGAGGGCGTCTTCCAACTCTGTACCTTGCCAAGGCGAGGAGTCTCTGCCTAGAGTACAGTGATGCAAGGCCCAGTAGTCAGCTCCAAAATTGGGGGTCCTCCCCTGCTGTATCTCGTCGTCGTGTTTGGCAGTCAAGTATACCAATGACTGTTGGAGGTGCTCGTGTTTGGCACTGAGAGTGGCGCATTGTACTTTGTGCACTTCTTTCCAGTCGGTTCTTTGGCACTGCCGTCCACAGTAGACGGCCAGGTGACAGCCAGAGCATACAGAGAAAGCCGGTCCCGAAACCTTGGAGCAGCAATGCGAGCAAGTCTGCTCGGATCGATACAAACCCGACGCTACGGCACCAAAGAGTTGCCGAAACACCAGAATGGCCTGGTCTCTACGCTGACGCATGTAGTGTCTTTCGATCGTAGACTGCGCGTCTCGTGGTTTGGCGCCAAGGACAGCCGAAAAGTAAGTTGCCGGCATGCCGACCATGGGCGAGTTGCGGAGGAAAGTCCCCTGCTGCCCCCGAAAAAATGCCTCCTCCAAGCGACTGGCTTGGGCCCTGCAGGTGGCATTGGTTGCCGTCCTGTACAGTCGCATCCATTCCATGTGAGTTTCGGGGCCACGCCCACGGCTCATTTCCAAGAGTTGGACAATATTTCCAAGCAATGACAACACAAAATGGTGGAATTCCTTTGAAAAAGTGAGCCTTTCGTCATTGGGGTATCGGGATCGAGGAGCGAATCGCTCGTGGAGAACCTTGATTGCAATGTGTCTAGCATCCCGTTCGACAGCATTCATTTCCACATCCATGTTTCCAGTAGGAAGTACAAAATTCAACTCGCTGCCAAATCTCTCAAAGAGACAAGACAAGTCGACACTGCCGTCTTCTACTCCACAAAAAGTTGTTGTCATGTTCTTGATGGCCCATTTGCTGTCAAATTTGTAGCTTTCTGGCTGAGAGACGAAAAAGTCGACGGCTCTTGTGATTTCCAAGCTCTGCATCGGTGTCAACGGATACTCAACTAGTACGTCCTCCTCCTCCTCCTCTTCCAGTGGCCACCACGGATTGCTGCTGTTGTCCTCATTGACTATCGCGACTGTGCTGGGCGAGGCACCCCGCACCGGCTTTTCTTCTCTTTCTTGAACCATCTCTAGAGTCTACCTAGCAGCGACCTCGATCTCTAGCTTGACAGCGTCCACAGTGTGTGTGTGTCTCTCTCGTCCGTGTGACAACAACCAACCCAATTCAAAAGCACTCGAAATGTGATCAGAAATATCAGTGTGTCAGGAATAGCAATAAAAATGTTATGGCAAATGAGAAGGAAAAGGTAACCAGTACGATTTAGCTGTCGGTAGCTAGTTTAGAGGAGAGAGGTGTAAGTTGCTGCCGAGAAGAATAACGCACAGTTGATCATCACTTGGAGGTCTGGTAGAGTTCGCTTGATGAATCGAATCGAATTCAATCGAATCTCTTCGCATCAACTCGAATACAGTACACTCAGTCTTGTTGAACCTGGACTGGCCGAGGCTTCTGGAACTTTCGACGCCAGTCTTCAAAACACGTTGGCTTTTGAATGTGGAACGTGCGTCGCCAAGGATTGGTCAGGCAGGCTTTGTCCAAATTGACAAAAATAAAGGGAGTTGGGGGTTTTATTTATGGGAACTGTGCTTGGAAGCTCTTGTAGCGTTCGCATTGCAGGTTCAAGATGAATCAAAAGAGGTTGAAAGCTAGCTGCTAGCTTGTCTTCCTTTGTTTGTCCCTTGATGCTTCTGTCATGGACATTTTTGTTTTCTTGGTGAGGGACATGACTTGGAGACATTCAACAGACCAGCAATCCGGTGAAAGAAAGTCCTGTGTTTCAAGAAGGGACCAATTACTGTGTCCACATCCACAGGCAGTCCTGCCAAAGTATGCAGAAGGGCCTTGTTCAAAGGGCCATGTGCCAGCTAGAGAAACAAACAAACTAGGCACTAGTATTGGATCCACTGGACAGTTGCGAGATCGACATTCGTTTTGAGCGGCTTACCAAACGCAGCCATTCCATGGCGGGGAACAAGAAGAGCGAAGCAGAAACAGATGGCAACATCAGCCCATCATTATTTTAGTAAATATATAGCACAGCAGGCTGCTGTACCGGTAGGCGGCGGACATTGACACATGTCTGAGCGTACAGGTGTCGGCCCCGCAGGGTTGCTTCTGATCCTCAGTGGTACAAAACGGCAGCACTGAAGGGATCGTCATCATGTGATTCGATTCATTCCGCTGTGGTACCGGTACCGATGAGCTAAACCCCAGTCTGGTTGAGCACAATGGCTGGGGAATGCTACGGCATAACCATTGGTGTGTTAGTGTACGTAGTATCCATAGATATGACAATAGTCTGTGAACGCCCCTGCCACATGGTTTCTGTTTTAGGGGAGTTCACGGGACCGAAAAGAAAATTCCTCCATCTCCATGCAATTTTGTCGTGTGCTCAACCAGTGAGCCGCAAGACACACCACGTCCAAATTTCAGCAGATTGCATTCGTCTTGCATCGGTGGCGCTCCTCACTCCTCACATCTCTTTCTTCCTCTCTGCAACTTCATCCACGAGAAAGCAACCAACTCGTCATTGCATTCTTATTATTCATCCATCACCACTAATAACCTTTCCAGCAATACATCAGACACATCACACAATGGCGCTAGTAGACATTGACCCATTCACGTTTGCCACATGCTTCACATCGGAGGACGTTGAAGCCGATAGTTTCAGTAATCCCTTCACAATGCTAACAGCACAGCCGACGATTGAGCCATCCAGGTCTGAACCAGATGATATGGATGGTGAAGCGTGTTCGGAGGAAGAGACACGACCCAGTCCACAGACAACAACAGAGGAAGAAGTGTCTCCTGCTGTTGTAGACCAAGAGGAAATGGTAGTAGAAGTCTCTGGCGATGACGATGGTGCTTCAACCAAGGACGAGACTAGTACACAGGACGATATGATCATTGAAGAAGTAGCACAAGAGACAACAACAACCAGCACGAATCAGTTCAATGGCTATGGAGGCTTGCGGAACTTGGGAAACACGTGTTATATGAACTCTGCCTTGCAAATGATTGCTAGTCTGGATCACTTTGTGGAGGAATTGGAACGGGAGAGTCCTCCCAACTCGCCCGAGACTGAGGAGGCCAAAAGCGTTCGGCAAGCTTTTCTGGAGCTAATGGAGACTCTTCGTGGAGGAGAGGCTGTCAGTCCCGATGACTTTAAGCGAGCGTTGGATGAGAGAACATCCCTGTTTCTGGGATTCCGACAAGAAGACTCGCATGAATTTCTGACCACTTTGCTAGATATTCTCGATGAGGACTACAAAGTCAAGCCAGAGCCAGTCGAGGACGACAAACAGCAGCCAATGGAGACAGAACCAGTCGATGAAGTCAAAGTAGAGGCACAAGTCCTTGAGGAAATAGGCACAAACTCAACAACAACCAAGCCAGAAGAAAGCAACAACATTCACCAGGAAGTGGAAACAGCGTCCGATTGCACGGAAATGCAGGATCCGGTTCGCAGCGAAGAGGAAGACGGCGAAACAGCGCCCGCTGAAACCGCCGAGAGCAATCCCTGCCCCAATGGCACCACCACAAAGCTGAGTACCTGCCAATCCTTTTCCGATTTACAACCTGATGGAATTGAAGAGCTTATTTACGCTCGGCTCCTGGACAGCAACTACAACTTTGACACTGCTGTAGTACCCGCAACCCCCCCGCGCTGCAAGCTGGTCGGAGGAAGAATGACTTCTCCAGATCTGCATGACGCTGTAGTGCTTCGAAAAGAGGGAGAGTCGGTGGCTTCTGTTTCCACCGAGGAAGCTCAATCACCAACCCCATCGCCGGCCGAAAGCGCAGAACCTTCGCCGGTGGAATCATACTTCAAAACAGAAGTGAGTGTCCGTCTCACGTGCGAAAGCTGCAAATTCACACGCTCGCATGTGGAGAACTTTCTTCACTTGTCGCTGGAGATTGGAGGAGACAGCAGTTCTGTGGCCGATGGCCTGCGCAAGTTTTTTGCTCCAGAGAAGAGAGAAATCAAGTGTGAAAAGTGCTTTTGCGAGTCTGCGATGCAAACTATGGAAATCACTCGACTTCCAAGAGCGCTCTTGCTCCACTTCAAACGCTTCATTGTGGATGTCAGTGACGACTACACATCCATCACGTACCGCAAGAACCAATCCGACTTTCAATTCGACGACAACCTCTCGTTGGATGAAGATATGGGAGGCGTTCTTGCCGACTGCTGTTCCCAAGACGTCATTGTGCCGAATCTTCTGAGCCAACAACAACAATCATCACCAGACTGCCGTCGGGGAACCTACCACATTCGAAGCGTTGTGAATCACATTGGGTCCTCTGCGGCTTGTGGTCACTATACAGCTGACGCGTTGCGTGCGTATCCAGACAAGGGGGAACGACAGTGGACCAGATTCAACGACTCCTATGTGTCCACAGTTTCAGCGAATGAAGCAATCAAAAACTCCTCCAAGACCGCATATCTCACCATGTACGAATTGAGCTAGTAGGAGTAGCTAAAACTAAAGAAAACGAACACAAGCAACTTGTTCGCCAACCTGATCAACAGTAGAGGGTGCAGTTCTCCCATCCTCGAGGAGTTGTAGTACGCGCGGCATTGCAGCTCCCCAAACAATTCCGCTCTGCCGAGTATTAACCTCTCTGGGCACAGTTGCGACCCTTCCTCGTCTTGTTTGCTTTGATCAGCTTCATCCCTAGCCAGGTACATGTAGCGGCGGTAATGGCTTCGCCGGGATGAAAGCATGTGTGCGGCGCGCGGCAACAGCAGGTGTTTGCAAGTCGATATTTAGATTATATTAGCAAGGATGCCCTTTGTGACGTTCGAACAGTCTTCGATTCATACTACTGGTAGCTGGAATATCATCATCTTCTAAATCTTTTACCATACCAGTATGAGCTGCGCACCATGTACAATTAGTGTAGGACCAGAAAGATTCCTAGCTGGCTAGCGTTTCTTGAAATAGGATGACCTGCTTCGCTCAATTTCTTTGCGGGCACGGGCTCCCGACTGAAGACCCAATGAAGCCTCTGTCGATCCAAGTAGTGGCAAAGTGAATTGTTGTGCAGTGGCAAACAAACAAATGCAGCGATTGAAGAGGCATGAAAGCAGCATGACATGGCGCAAGAAACAAAAAGGTGGTTAGATCAATCATCAAATTTCTTTAAAATGGCAAGCGAACAGACGCACCTTCATCAATGACATTTCCCAGACTTCCGGTCAGAACACCCACACCAACCAACAAGCCCACAGCAAATATGGCAGGTACATATGGTGGGGGCAATTCGGCCATTTCGATTTCTTCTCCTGCAAAGGCGGCACCGGCAAAGGTGACCAGACCTGTTGTAAGGCCAGCCATTGGACCGAGGACTGCCGTTAGTGTCGTCGGAGATGTTGCTTCGTAATCTTGACCCAGATCAGCAGGTTGGAGCGGCGAAAGCGGGGTCATGGTACTGTGTACGTTCTTGGCCATGGGGTTGAAGCCCGACACAGAACCAAGGAGCGCCCAACAGAGCAACAGCAGAAACTTCATTGTAGAAAGTAGCCTAGCTAGTATCTCTTGATGTGAAGAAGGTAGATGAGCTCTAGCTAGATCTAGTGTGTTGACACAGACTGACTCGGATGCAATGCAAGCAACTGTATCCTCTCGAATCTCTTGTGGACAGGAGCTTGAATGCGCCGCAAGCCGCAAGGTGACAGGGTGACAGGGTTGATGGAAGAAGCCGCAAAAGGAATGAGTGAAAACACGTCATCCTGGCGAAAAGCCTCAACCCTACCGTACTATTTGTTTCGCAATCGCTTCACGACACCGAGGCTTTCAAGGAAAGCACGTCTCGTCTTGGCAAATGGTGGGAAAGGGCGTGAGGCTCCATGGAGTTCTTTCAGGACTGGTCCAGTCACTGGTCGCAGCAGGAGCAAAATCACAGCCACACCACCAGCTACCCAGCTGAAATTTCTTTTGAAATTCCCGCCAGAGTCGAGTCTGGTGAGAGTCCAGTAGAGTCAAGGTAGCATCACCACCACCTCCACAAGTCAAGTGTTGCTGCTAACAAAATTCTCAGCATGCAAAAGCACCAAGGAACGAAGTACCGCCCGTCATGTTCCGTGACCATGACAAAAGGGCTGGGAATAGTACCAATGGTGTTTCTAGCAATACCAACTGGAGTACAAAAGAGGCGATGGCAGCAGTAGAGTTGTAGGATGTGAGATAATTGTTTACCTTGACAACAATATCACTCATTTCTCCACAACAAGAAAGACCATACGACAGCCATGGAACATTTTACAGCAAGGCCATCAAAACCATCCAAGAAGCAATATTGCAAGTCAGACTTTCCTCGACAGAAAACACAATCAGCGGCCATGGCAAACAGGGCAGGAATGTTCAAATTGTGCAATAAACGAGACGTTGTATGGCAGAGCACGGGCCAAACACAAAGTGGTGGCTCAAGGGAAGTGCCTATGAATGATGCAAGATGGAGTTTGTCTGCTACAGCTGTTGACGACCGACCAGTTGCTAGACCAACAGTGTTCCCATGCTGATTCAACCAACAACAGCAGCAACAACAGCAAATGCCTGCCAGCAATTGTTATACAATCGACCAGACGCTCGTGACTGCTCAAATTTTCAGCCACAAATGGATTCGATTCTCACCTAATCGGTATCTGGTACGATTTCCAGTACATAGAAGAAAGATCCAACCATTCGCTCCTGTTGAGTGCTTTTGCTTCTCAGCCATCAGACACTCATTATCTTGGTTCCGATACCGAATGGAGGCACCGTACCTCGGGTCTCTGCAGAACACAGGAGTGCAAATTCACCACGGCTGTGACAACAACAGCGATAAGAAATCATTGTTGATACCGACAACGACAATAGGCAACAGAAGTGCGGACACGAAGGAGAGAAGGAGATTCGACCGCAATAACAGAAGGTAGCTATAGCCACTACTACCGCTAGCCACAGCGCTACCGATAGTGGAAAAAGTGTCCACAACAGAACAGTGTCGGCATGCCGTAGTTGCTGAACTGAACAAAGTATCATGCCGTTGCGGAAAAGGTCAACTAGCAACAGCGAAATGCTAGCTCACATAAATAAAATAGAAACGCAGCGGTAGCCCCTGCTCCTTTGCAGTGCAGGCAATTGATACTAGATACTTTGACCGTGCCATCGATCGACAGCATCTCCTCTTGTTATTCGGAGCGATCGATCCAAAAGGACTGACTTAACCAAAGCATTTCGTAGTCGGCGGTCAGCCGTGCTGAACTAAAAAAACCAGAGACTTTTCCGTGCTCTTCAAAATTCACCAACTTGACTGTAATTGACCCAGAAAAGAAAACCTTTCCAAAGGGGTATGATTCCAATGAGAATGGCTTTCTGTTCTGAACCGACGCTCCGATTGACTGACGTTTGAGGTGTGATAGACACTCTGATAGCCTTAGGCTTGATGGCAGACAGGCATAGAGGTGCGGCAGATCCATCAGCCTGTCAATATGAGCCACCCGTCCAGATACCGGTACCACAAGATGCGCTCAATGGACTGTCGCCGGCTCTCTAGACCTAGCTAGAGAGGGTCCAACGTTTCGTTCAAGAGGATTGAATTCGAGGCTTTGCTCCTGTAATAAGCATCCATACATCCATTATGAGGATGCAAGGATATTGACAAGGAATATTCAAGGAGCGACCGCCACAGAGCAACTGGCACCTTATCACAGGTTTGAGTGCTTTGTTCCTCCAGGCAATTAACAAGCATCATGATGATGTCCTGTTGATGAGCAATGTCTGGGATTGTCGTCGACATTGAGTGACGACGTGATGGCTTCGGGTGCCTGGTGCATACAGCTTTCTGTCTTGTGGATACTCAATCAAGAAAGCATCTGTCTCTTCAGTGTTGCTTCTTGATTGTGGGGGAGAGATGATTGGCACCCTGTATTCTATAACACAAACAATCACTGAATCCCCCTTTCAGTGTTTCGAATGCTGCAAATCCCAGTACCAGGTGCAAATCGCCCCATCGTTTTTTCTTCCCATAGCTTTTTCACATCAGATCGCATGATATTTGTCATGGCTACTTGAGAATGTGTAAATATCAATAGGTGTCTGCTTTACCATTGCTGTGCCAACATTCCCAAAAGCCACCGGATAAAGATCATTAAAAAATGTCTTGGTACTGTTTCTTAGAGAGTGTGGTGCTGCCAAATTTTGGATCAACTAGCCCCTTACAAACCCCTTCATTAAGTCGTGAGGAAACCTCACGGACTGTCTTCCGATAGCTAGCTATCATAGCTAGTAGACGGATCGACGGCGATGATACCGGTACTATTACCTTTACCGATCGATAGCTGGAAGAATCTATTATTCCATTAAAGGTCGACTGCATGCTCCTCAATTGCAAGTGCCAACCATTGAATAGCAGCAAGGATGAAAGGCAGCACTAGTGTCCCTTCTAAGAGGAGGGATGGATCCAGCACTGCTACCGGCACCAGCACCGGTAGTGGCAGTGGCTCTGGCGCACATACAGCTGGCAATGAACCCAAGCCCGATCAGGCTGTCATCGATGCTCTTAACAAAAGATCTGAATTGGAAGCCGCGCAGCAAGCACGAGATGAAGAAATCGCCATCACGAGGAGTCAAGAAAACACCAAGAATGAGACTCCCACCAATTCTTCGGCTGCCGATTCTGGAAGAAGACCACCACCCGAAAAACAAGAAGCTATAGCTTTATCTACCCGGACCACTGAAAGTGAAAGAGGAGTTCTCATGAACATTGTGGCAGCACAGGCTAGCATAGCAGCAGCTGAGCATCTAGTTAAAGCAGACAACCTCAAACAGCAAGTCAAAGTGCAAACACCAGCCCGGGTTGACAGCAGCCAAAACAGTTGTCGCCTAGCATTCTTTCGCAACTCTGCCCCAAACTCACAGACATCCAAACAAGGTGAAAATAGTATATTAGTACATAATGAAGAACCAAGCCCAACCAGAGACCAGATGCCCATGCAAACACAACTACAACGACAACAAAGGCTGCAACGTCCAGGAGCCTACAGGGGGGGCCCTGGGGAAGCCTTGCAACGAACTGAAAGTCTCCAATTCTCACTGGTTGGTGCCAATACGGGTGATTTTGAGCCCATGGACATCCTAGATGCAGGTCCGAGAGACTTTGTCATACACAGTGCTGCCAACCAACCGTCCGAGGAATTATTGCAAGCCACGGCTGTGGGTGAATTGGTAACCCCCGGAGAAGACCTCGATGAGGAAGCCATCCGTCAGCAGGCAGAGATTGTTGCAGAGGAGAGACTCCTCGCAAGTGCTGCCCAAGCAGAAGTGGTACCAACCAGAACTCCTGACGAACAGGAAGGCGAAGATTATTCCAAATGGCAACGATTTACTTGTTCAGCCATTGGATTCTTGCTTCTAATTGTAGTGCTTGTGGTGATAGCAGTGTCAGTGTCCCGGAAGGAAGTCATCATTACCCTGGCTCCCTCTCAAGCTCCAACTACTGCAAGTCCTTCTTCAGCTCCTTCCATGGCACCTTCCTTCTTTACTAATAACCTTTGTAGAGGAGCACATCCAGTGCAAATCAATGCTGCAGTAAGAGATTCCACATTGAGGAACACACAAGAAGAAAGTGTGGCTACGTGCCAAGACATACGGACCAATGGTAGAGGTCAGTGGTTTGCCGTGGAAGGAGCTGATGCTTGGTTACACGTTCATACCTGTGGCAGTGGTACCAACTATGATACTCAACTATCAGTCTATGAAGCAGGAGGAGGAACACTCGATGATCATCCTTGTGATGTCGCAGTCTGTGTTACTGGGAATGACCAACATTGTGGTGATCAGAGCTATGTGCATTGGTTTGGACAAGCTGGTTCGCACTACTTCATTCTGGTTCATGGATACCGGCTCTACACTGGGGATTTTGAGATGGAAGTATTGGAAGAAAACAATGGTGTGTGTGACGGCGCTTTCAACATCTCGCAGCCTGTGTTTGATGACATTGGAAGGGGAAGATTTCGGATCCAAAGTTCTATGGAAGGAGCTAAGCTGGTGGATTCAGACCAGCTCCCAGAATGCGATGACAATTCACAAAAACCTTCAGGCATAGGGGTTTGGTACACAATCGATGGACAGAATGACTCACCTACCTATGACATAGGGTCTGAATTGAATGTTGCTGTTTACAAGGGGTCGTGCAGCATGCTGAGCTGTGTCCATGTTGACACTTCCGACGCTTTTGGCGTTTTCAACTTCGACACTTTCAACTTCTTTGATCGTGAAGAAGGAGTGACATTTTATCTTCTGGTCTACGGCAACACTACAGTGACGGATGCCAGCTTTGAATTGTCGATCATGTATCAACTGAGGGGTGATGGTTTGCAAATAGATGGCAATGAATATTGTGAAGGTGTGCCAAACAATCGAATATTCACTCTTCAGCCGAACCAGGTTGGTTTCCAAGATTTTACGCCACCAACATTTTTTGGGTTGAATGTTGGTGGTGCGCCCAGCTGCGGTGACCGGGTCTGGCACACATCATCTGGTCTGTGGTATTCGGCTATTGGTACTGGGAGGGCCATGACTGTGTCCACCTGCCCAAATGTTACGGCTGATGATATTGGTCGAGATGCTTTTCTGGACACACAAATCTCGGTGTACACAGGCTCTTGTGACAACTTGGTTTGCATGGATGGCAATGACCAGTTCTGTAGAGATCAAAGTTCTGTGTCATGGTTTACAGAGCCAGGTGTGGAGTATCTCGTCCTTGTTCATGGGTATGACAACAGGGATGGCTATTTCAATGTTTATTATGAGGATGCAGAGATCGACAATTCTCCTACCTGCCAAGAGGCCACCACTATTTCTGCTGACGGAACTTCAATTTTGGGTAGTGCAATTCCAACTGATGGTGCAATGTCCATTGCATTTTGTGGATTTGGTGGGGGCGAAGGACAAGAAAGTGTTCCTGGTACCTGGTATCGAGCAGTGGGTACGGGCAAAACTTGGACAGCATCAACTTGTTCATCCTACACAGGCTTCACAGCTTGGGTTTCTGTCTATGAAGGGGCCGTCTGCGCTTATCTAGCATGCCTACCAACCTCAGTTTCAGAGGCTTCGCCATGCGGCGATCAAAACGCTGTGACTTGGACCACCATTTCAAACCAAATCTATTATTTCCTGGTTCATGGCAAAAATTCATCTGTTTCTGGTGATTTTGTCTTTACACTGGAAGAAACTGCTTCCAATGACAAGTGTGAAGGCACTATTGGACCTTTGACTGTGGATGATGGTATAACCACTTTTGGGTCAACTCGAAGCGCCACCTTCAATGAAAACGTTACCAATTCTTGTGATAGTGAAGGGCGGAACACAACAGGTCGCGGCCTCTTTTATTCCCTGATTGGGACAGGTGACAACATCACAGCTACCACCTGCACAGCACACACGAACTTTGACATGAATCTCGCAGTTTGCATTGGAAGCTGTGGTGATCTACAGTGTGTTCCGGCTCAGTCCAGTGACTGTGGGACAGGCCAAAACAACAGCACTCTGCTTGCTGGAACTTCTGTCACATGGTCCTCGGAACGAAACGAAGTTTACTACTTGCTATTACAGGGCGAAGACGAGGAGTTTGGAAATTTTGGGTTGGAACTGTGGACGTCTGGTTCCGAGGACCAGGACGCGTGAAGGAGACGATGGAAGTGCTGCAAATGTGAGAATTATGTCTTTTTCTACCACAGGAGCCGGCATTATCCAGTACCACTAAGGTACGATTGATACAACAAGAAGAAGAGAAAATGAGAGACGAAGAGGATGCATACAATGTAGCTCAGATATGGTCTCGAATAAATAATGATAGTGTAAAATTCTATACAAGAAGACTAGGGAAATATCGAGGACAAGTGGATCCCAAGCTTCGATGACCTCATGACAAGTTGCATAATATGTATACATTGAACTGAAGGCAAAGCGCAAAATTCCTGGACTGTGCACGGTATCGAAAGAATAAATAAATTGGCCTCGGTGAAAATGGCCTCATTATTGATTTATTTTGCAGCTCCCAGTCCTCGACTGGATCACATTTTGACATGAATACTCTTGCGTTGATGCCATCCTTCGTCACTGGGTGCAATTTCCAATCTCCCCGAGGGCCAGCAACCAAGAAACTGGAGTGTTTTGTTGCGGTCTTCCTCACAGTCCATGGGCGCCAGCGGATAGCGATTCATATCCATCAAACTCCATTCTCGAGACAAAATTTTGTTTGGCAAGGCAGACGCATGCCCTCCCAACCAGTTGAGAATATCTTCCAACGTATCATCGCCATCAAATCGTCGTCGAATCGTAGTATCCTCGTTGAGTTTGATTTGCATCAGAGCACCCTTTCCATCACTGGGTTCCGTGGGACACTTGGACATGTGGTTGGCTCTGGCGATCGCCTCTGTTTCACTAGCATCACTTTGTGTCAATAACGCCAGCATTTGCTTTTCAAATTGCAGTTTTTGCTTTCCCTTTTTGTATTCGGGTGTTTCTCGGGTCGTTTCCAAGGCACCAATTCCCAAATACAAGAGTGCCGGATCGACGCGATCCCGCGTAAGCACTAAAGTCGAAGGACCCCGTTCCACAAAATTCATGGCCTTGAGCATATCCTCGGCACCCGGTGCGGGTTTCAATGTTCGTTGAAATCCGGCCGTCGTCTTGTCGATTTTTCGAAATTTGTCATTGGCCGGGTCTTTTTGAATGGACGTGAGTGCAATGTAGAGCGTATCGACGGCGCGCGGAAATGTTTTCATGCGATCCGCACACCGCAACAGTTGCTCTTCTTTGGGTCGATGTTCCAGTTTGGTCGGCATTTTGACAGCGGGGTGATGAGCGCCAATTCCGGTGGTTCGGGGTGGAGATTTGGACGTTTTGCGTCCTTGTGCTGCTCGGAGTTGCGCGGCCTCTCCGGCACGAACCGTAGCTGCCGATGGTGGTGGGGGTTGATCGGCTGAAGCCACGCGAGCCGCTTCCAATTGCCGTGCTTCTTCTGTTTGTAGACTCTCTTGTAATGCTGCAGCCAACGCGGCTTCATCATCATTACTATTGGCAGTGTTGTTGGTATTATTGGTTGTGGCTGGACGACCACGATGATGATGTTGTTGCTGTTGTTGTTGATTGTTGGAAGCTAAAAGCATGGATGCAGCTCTCTCCACGTCCCCATTGCATGCTTGTAACGCACTTCGCGCGTCTGTGGCACCAAAGCCCATCGACTGCAATGACTGGACACCCTGCTGCTCTCCAGTAGAACCCGCCAAGGCATTGGCAGCGGCCGATATTCCATCACGGAGCTTTCGGAACATTCTATTGTACTGTACTGTACTAATGGTAGGAGTTGTCAGTTTTTAGTGTTGTGTTGTGTTGTGTGTTGCGTTGCGATTTTGGTGGTGGCGTTTTATGGCTTTGCAACAAGATAGACTGGCACACTGGCACGGCATGGTGGCTGCTTGCTGCTTGCTTGATTGGTTTGGGTGAGTCTTGAGCCATCTCGGTCGTGCAAAGAATTCTTGAACAGGCAGCTGTGCGCCCCTCGAACTAAAGCAACTGTGCGCCCAGCTATGAGAAAATTCAATCCAGACCTGGATTGGATCCCGTAAGTGCCGTGGCTGGCAAGCTTACAAGTCAAAGAGCCAGTCCACGCCTCCGAGCTCACAAAGAATGGAAAATTGAAGATTTCATTCACCTCGTGTTCGTTCCATCTCGCGCCCAGCTGATGAGAGGGGAATCGAATCGAATCCAGGCCTGTATCGTCTGTACCCGGCAAGTTAGAAACAAAGGCCGGCTGTCGATTTCATGCAGCTCAAAGCAAGATTCTGTTCGCAGATGAGCAACGGGGGTTTTCTAAAGAGTACGAGTAGGGAGGTTCATAATATTTTGTTTTCATCTTTTGGCTCGCAGTACTAAAATTTTGAAACAACATGTGCCGGTATTTGACTGAGATAACCACTACTACAGCTTCTGCAAATGGTGCAAGCAATCATGTGGCACCCAAAAAACTCAGTCTCAGGAACCGACAGGAGGAGCAACGCATGCAGAGCATCATTCTGGACTCTCTCACAGCCATAGCTGTGGGCTATGCCTTCTACAAATACCCAGGCTATTTCAATCCATGGGGACTGTCACTGGTCCAATGGATGTGTGGATTTGTTGGCATGAGAAGTGGCATTTTCTCCCACGACATTATGATGTCAAAGCTACTTGTGCAAGTTGTCTGGGGTGGGAAGGAAAAGCTCCTACCAACCCGCACCACAGGCAAACCAGTTCCATATGTGCCCCTGGATACCAAAGCCGTCATCTTCTTGGTCATCAATTGCTTTAATGAGTATGTGTTTCTTTCACGACTGACTCACTTTCTCTGGCATTCACCAGATGTCCCCTTACGATGGGAAGAACTCAACATGCTCAACTCTCTGGGGGCATTGGTGGTCATTCTTGTGGTTTTTGATCTCATTTTTGCTCCCATTCATCATATCCTACATCTACCCTGGTTATATCCACTCATTCACAAGCATCATCATCGACAGCATTTTCCTGTTCTTGGCTATTGGGATGCAGCAAGTGTTCATGTCATTGAACAATTTATGGGTTTGTCGGCAACATGGGGAGCCATCCTGGTAGCTACCCATGGACCCACAGGAGCTCATGGCATTGCCCTTTTCCTATTCTTCAACATTCATGCCGTACTGAACCTACTCAATCATTCACGCTACGATGTGGAATTTGATATCATTCCCGGAATCATGACGTACAAAGCCGGCAATCACGAAATGCATCACCGCAAATTTACTGTCAACTATGCCTCGTACAATCATTTGTACGATCATTTAATGGGAACTTATGCTCCCTATGAGGGACCGTCTTCAGCAGCCGGTGTGGAGAAAAAGAAGGAATCTTAACACTTCAAGAGGACAATCTTCTCTCAATGTTCTCAGTGCTATCCATGTTTGGCTGCAAGGTCTTTCTTTCTCAACCAGAATCTTTTTTGGAAATACCCCCCCCCCAGTGAAAGTCACAGGAGGTTTTCGTGTCACGGACAGTAGCTTATAAAGAAATGTAGCTTCACCATGCCGTTAACTTGTTCGGAAGCTGCCATCAACCGTACCGTAGCTACCGGTAGCCAGCCCGCTATCTTCACCAGTAGGTGTGGGTCGGTCTGAGTCGAGTCATACCTGACCGGAAATAGCAACCAGTTCCTACACGCCAATCTACTGAAGCAGCTAAACAACGCAAAAATCAAATGAACTAATAGCTCCTTCTTGTGCTACAACCTTCGCTGCCACCCGAAGCTACCCTTGGCAGTCACAGTTGCACTTCCCGCATTCAACCTTTTCACAATTGACCGACAGAGTTCCCAGTTGGGGTCCGCAAATGGCTTTGGGAATGCTTCCACTGACCTCGCCCCCAAGTTTCAGCACTTCCAGATTCGTCAAACTACTGTACTCGGATGGGATCGTCCCCGTGATTGCTGTCTCGGACAAGTCCAGTTCTACCAATTGAGTAAGCAATCCCAGTTGTGTTGGAAGGGTCGAGCCAGTGTAGTAGTTCCCACCGAGGCGTAGCACACGCACAGCAGCAGCATCTTGAAAGGAGGGAAGTTGACCCGTCATAAAGTTGCCACTGATGTCAATGATCTGTGCCGACGACAAGTGATCCAACTCGAGTGGCACACGGCCCGTCATCGAGTTGAAGGAAAGATCCAAGAAAGTCAACTTGCTCAAAAGTCCCACTTCCGTTGGCAGACCATTGAAGCCGTTCTTCGACAAGTCGAGGCGCTCCAGGTTGTTACCAAGCAGACCAACCTCTGAACAAATCGTTCCAGTATGAGAGTTCCCGGCGATTTCCAACCGTTTCAAATTTGTCATAGAACCCAGCTGTGTTGGTAGCGATCCAGCTAGCAACGTGTTGGACAGCAATAGCTCCTCTGCTGACGCCAACCCGCCAACTTGACTCGGTATGGAGCCTGAGAGACCACTCAATGACAAAGAAAGCCGCCGAAGTGATGACAACTGACCAATTTCAGAAGGCAAGGGTCCTTCGATTCCATTCTCGGAAAGATCCAATACCCGGAGCGTAGAACCTAACGTGCCAATCTCGGAAGGAATTCTACCGGAGAGAAGCGTCTTGCTCAGATCCAGCGACACTAAAGAACTGCTCTGTCCAAGGTGCGTGGGGAGCGAGCCTGTCACGGATGTGTCCCCAAGATCTAACCATTTCAGCGAAAACATCAAGCCAATGTACGGAGGGATCTGGCCATCAATCTTGTTGCCAGAAAGGCTCAAGTATTCCAGCTTGCTCAAATCACGGAGGGTGGGGATTCCACCTGACAAACTATTTTGCGACAAATCCAGACGTCGGAGCTCCAACAACGTATCGAATTCGGAGGGAATGCTTCCGGTCAAGAGATTCGTCGATGCGTCCAACTCCTGTAAATTTGAAAGCTTGAACAACAACGAGTCCGGTTGAATGAGCGTGTGAATTTCATTCTGCGCAACGGAGAGCATCCTGAACGTGGAAGCTATCCGTTGCATCTCCGAGGGCATCAGATCGACCCAAGTGGAAAAGACACCATTTCGGGCCATACCCAAACGTTGGATCTGATCCAGCAATGTAATCTCTCTGGGTATTGACGTGACCAGGTCGTCCTGTACTCCCGACACGGCCGAGAGTTCTAGATTTTGTATGCGCCCATTGTCGTCGCACCGGGGTGGATTCAGGTCGTTGCTGGGACCGCCCCAATCACATTCGGATTGGTCGTGGCGGAGCCAAGTATCCTCCTCCTCGCTGGTTGGACCGCTGGTTTTCCGCATGGCAAAGTACACAGTGGCAACAGCAAAGCGTTGGATGAGCTGCCATTCTTCGTACTCTCCGCGACGAGGATCCTGTTCCAACCAATCGTAGGCTCGGAATTGTGGTGATGCCGGCTGTGCTAGAGCCGCTTCGGTTCCTTCTACCAGTGCTGCGGGAGGCAGAAAAATGTCCCCGAGTGTCGCTGTGGTGGTGCCGACTGGAGCTGCATTGTTGTTGTTGTCGTCACTACTTTTTAGCCATCCAAAGGCAAACATAAAGACTAGCCCCAGCAGCCCCACTGCAAACAGAAAACCAAGCGCAATGATGACCATCTTCATGAGTTTCACCTTTCTGTTGCGTGCCTTTTCGGCTTCGTGATAGCGTTGTACAAGTTCCTCTGGTTCCATGGGACCGCCATCCAAACCTCCATTGTTGGTCGGATGAGGCTGTAGCAAAGCATCCATTTCCGGGGGTCGTTGTTCTGCTGGAGCCGCACCAATGGGCAAGGACAACAAATCCACAGGCGCTTCTCGCTTGTTGTTTTTGTGATTGGTTTCGTCGAGATTGATTGTCGAAAAGGAATGGTCGGATTGTGCCGGAATTTGATTGGCAGAATTGTCCTTCTTGTTTTGAGCAGCAATTCTGGTAGCCTCAAAGAGTGCATTGTTGTTTTCAATTCCAAAAATGTCTCCAATTTCATTAGACTTTGTGGTGGCTGGTTGGACAACGGGTGCCTCGTCCGTCTCTGGAATGGGATGCAACAATACCGCCGGAGCACCAGCTTCTTCGGCTTCTTTTTTCTCCAGCACTTGGGTCAATTTTTCCTTGAGCTTTTGCAGTTCCTCTTTGGATTTTTTTCTTTTTTCTTTCTTGGACAATCCATCATCTACTAGTAGAGTAGTAGTTGGTTCTTCCGGTGGAGGCACCACTGTGGGATTCTCGGGTGGTGGTGGTGGCGGTGGGGCCCGTTTCTTTTTGCGCCTTTGCTTGTCCGGATGGTGATTGCTAGGTGTAGCTCTACCTCCTGATTCCACGAGAGTGCCGGATGGATCTTTGGACTTTCTCCTTCGAGCCTTCTTTTGTTTCTCGTCAGTATTATTATTGGTATTGTCGTGTGCTTCCTTTGCCAGTGTTTCAGCCGACGGCGCAGGGGCATCTGTGGACTGGCGTCTGGATGATTTCCTTCTTCGGGCCGACTTTTTCATGGTTTCCTGTACGGCAAGTTCTTGACTTTTGGAAGCTTCGTCGACAAATGTTTCGGGTACTCCATCGTCGTCTGGTTGTTGTTCCCCTGGTTTGGGTCGAGGTTTCTTCTTGCGCTTCTTTTTCAAACCGGCTAGAGCGAGTTGTCGTCCTCGAGCAGCCGCCGCGGCAGCATTGCTGTTTGCTTCTTCGCTTGCTGCAGCCTTTCGAGCCTTTTCTTCCGCTTCCGCAAATGGATCGGCAACCGCACCATTCTGATTCTCCAGAGCCTCCAGCGCGGCTTTGGCTTCTTCTGTTGTCATCTCGATACTCACTGTGGTTGGAGGGGCTGCTGCTGTTTGTTGTTCAGCAGCACCCTCCTCAGTAGTAGTGCCAAAGATCCTGGCAAAGGCAGGGTCCTCGTGATCCAACATCTTCTTGTCTACTCGCTAGCTAGATAGATGGATAGATAGATAGATAGTGGTATGTTCCGGGTTTCTTTGTGGTAACAATACCCAAATGAAAGCTACCAACAACGCGGTTTTGATCATCTGCGGTGATCCTGTTTCGGAATTGAACCAGCCACCCAAGGCACGAACCCTTCAAGAACTGCACGACTGCTGAAGCATTATGACATATTCAAAATACTTAAGCCTTCACACCCCTCTAAGCCTCTCATGTTGGCACCGCCCAACCTTTTCTCGGATTGATTTCTGGACCAACTCTGACTGGACCACCTACTACTAGACCTGAAGCCTTGGCCAAGAACCGAAGACTTGTTGGAGTTGGGGGGATGGGCTTTTGGAGCAGTTCCATTCTTCTAGATTGTGTCATTCTTTTAGATTATGTCATTCTTGTCCTATTTTCAGTCAATCTTCCAAAAGAGAACAAATTATTGGAACCTGACAAAGGTATTCCCTGAGCTGTTGCTACACCAAAATTGAATCGAATCGTCACCAGCGACATTATTTATTACACTCTCAAAGATAACCCGCAACTCTAGCTAGCTACCGGTAGCTGGCTCACTACTGTACTTTTGCTACATTCAGGATTTCTTTTTCATCAAAGGTTCCCCATGGCCGTGGCTTTCCAAAGGGACCCACGCAAGTGCGAAAGGGCAGTACAAACTCATCCGTGGGAGTTCCTTGACATGCCGACACTACTAATAACGTCGTTGGATATGTATTAGTAGTATCAAAAAACTGTCGTTGAAAATGGGAATGGTTGAGGGGGAAATCCAAAATGTATCCCGTGGCATTCCAACTAGGATCGTTTGGAAAGAGCGCCGCACCCTGGAAACATTGGTAGAATGGAGTTTGATACTCACGACAGTGGCTCTGACACTTGTCTTCACATAGGGTCGTCGTCAGCAACAAGGCAGACGTGTGGTCGGTACCAATCCTTGGTGAACTGGTACTGTGCTGAGGAAATACATGTACCGGTACAACGAAACTCCACCACTTCTGAAAGCAGTACAAGAGGATAAGTGTCGCTGTTATCACAAATGCATGTGGTGGTTCCACCCTCCACAACATCATCATTGGTGTACATCAAATGGCATCAATGTGTCACTGTGTCACTTCGCAAGCAAGGACCGAGGATCCGAGCGAGCAAAAAGAAATTGTGAGAATGGTTTTGACCGTTGGAAAAAATGAGCCCCGAACCCTAATAACGGGCACATAGCCCATGTTGTTGTGTTGCACCTCATTTGTGGAAGCAATTCATTCAATGATATAGCCAACCCACAGCAGCAAAGTGAAGGGAATAGAAGATGGCTCGAGTTGTTTGTCTGCGTCACTGTTTGGCGGCATCCGTGCTGTTGGTTTGTCTGATCAATTTTCTGCTACTATTGAAGAACCAAACGGAGGAAGACCTGTGGTCCTATATCTTGATGCATCCACCATCCGATAATGATGAGACAAAGACGAGCAAGACGAAGAAGAAGCCTAAAGGAATTCAGTTTAGTCGTCATCAGCATGCCAAAAGCAGTCCTCTCACTGAACGAGCCAATTGGAAACAGGACTTTCAGCAAAGAATACGACGGCTTGATCAGACCAAGCAGCAGCAGCAGCAGCCAAGCAACAACCAAAAGGAACATTCCAAGCGCAAGCACAAAGACTTGGCACAGCCGCTCAAAAAGGGACTCGAAAACGAGGAAGACAAATCACAACAACGGGCAGGTCATCATCATCCTCAAGGCAGCCTGCAAGAACAAAGGGCACTGGTCCAGCCGCTCAAAAATGGACTGTCACTCAAACTATACGAGGATTTCTACAAGACACACCCAAAGCCCACGACCACCATGGTGGAACAGCCTCTCCCACAAAAGGCCCATCAAAAACTCAACTTTACCGAAGATCCCATGGCGGTACTACAGTATGCTCCCTCGCGGATACCAGGGTATATTAATGTCTACGGCAACGACACATTGTCATTGTATGGACATGTCATGAGAGAGCTAACGCAACGAATCTGTGCCAGGCAGATTGCACAGTCCAATATTCTGGTCGTCTCACCCGAAGCACCCTCGGTAGTGGAACTCTTGCAACAACAACAAACGTCGATTGATGAGGACGATGTAGGCAAACTGAGACGGACGATACAGCATGCCGTGGGAGGATCCACCTTGATAGATGTACACAAGCAGGGTCATACCTACTATGGATTCAACACGACAACGACTGTGATTGATGATTGGTGGACCAGCTTGGAGGAGGGCAGCAATAGTAATAAGCCCAGTTGGTTTCTATTGGCCATGTTTGATCATGGGCCACAGAATGATCAAGTCATCAGTCACTCCTTGAAGCTGCTGAAAGAAGCAACAGTGACATACATTGTGCTGGGGTTTGGTGCCTATCCCCAAAACTCCAAAAAGAGCTATGGTCAACAAGCGATTCAACATTTGATTGACTTGAAGTACAAGGTGCAGACGCTTTCTGCGTCCCATCTGCCCTTGACCGAGGGTTTGTCATCGCTGCTCAAGCCCAATGCCGACATTACACAGAGGAGACTGCCCTTGCTGTTTAAAGGAATAGAGCATTTGGCCAATTTTACCACGACGCCAGTTTTGGGGTATGTGTTTGCAACACAGGGATTGGATTTGGCCATTCCAACCGCCACACTTTATGAACCCACCGTTACAAGACACATGGTCTCGTACAAACAGTGCCCAGCGTCGTCTCTCCGCGTTGAATTTGCACCAGTCAGCAAAGAACCGCAGCACAAACAAGAGGAAGAACACCATGGACCACAAGGTTTCTTATACGATAAAGCAAACAAGCAATCCACTGACATTGACCATCCCCTGCGGATATCCTGTCAGAAACAGCCCATGGATCCCTCCACTCCAACCGCCTTTCAACACTTGTGGTATTCGGGAGAAACCATTGAAACCTCAGAAGCCGCTTGTATCCGAGCCAACTGCGTCTCCAATGATCAGGCAAGCTGCACGACACGGATATTGCCCAAAGAAACCAAGCGTGTGACGGCGGATGCACGGAAACGACGGCTGAATGATGACTCTACGTCCAACAAGAAAAGACCGAATCTCCTCCTCCTGATGATTGACCCAATCAGCCGTGCTAGATTTGAACGATCCATGGTCAAGACTAGCACGTTACTCCAACTCCTGGAGTTTACTTCGTTTTCTCAATACACGGCCGTGGGGAATAACAGTGGACCGAATCAGGCGGCTCTTTACTCCGGTATTCCACTGTCTTCCCGTGATTCAATCTCTACTCATGGCAGCAAAACGAAAAAGAGCCAGTGGTTATGGGATGCTCTTCGAGAGCATGGCTATGCGACGTTCAAGGCCGAAGACGGCTGCATAGAAAACAGTAACATGATCCAATCAATCGCTCCTCAGGTGGATCACGGGGATTCCTTGCACCAATTGATATGCTTTGACTTTCAAAGGCCCAATTGTGTCGGGGGCAAGCCAAACGCACAGCATTTGATTGACTACGGGACACAGTTCATTCAAACCTACGAAAGCAGAAACCAATCCTGGGCTGCCTTGCTACACTTTATCGACTCCCATGAAGACACGCAAACATTAGAAGGCACCTTGGACAATCCCATTTGGCATTTCCTCTTTTCAATCTATGAAGCACGTGAGAAGTGCGCAATGACTCTCAACAAGGACATTCCCTGCACGGTATGGGACAATACGTTGCTAGTGCTGCTCAGCGACCACGGACTGCACTACGGTGGCTATCTGTTGAGTCCAAAGGGCTTGAAGGAACGGTCGCAGCCCATGCTGCACATGCATCTACCCGAGAGTCTTGCGTCTTCGTCAGTTGCATTGAACTCCAATAAAGACTTGATCGCGACTCCCTTTGATGTTCATGAAACAATCGTTCATGCGTTGATACCAGAAGCAATGCGGGACGCGACTGGGTCTAGTCTCCTCCAGCCCCTGCCGGAAACTCGAAAAGTCTGTTCTACCACAGATGGTGTTCCGACGTATGTTTGCGACTTGCTGTCACGACAAGACGAGAAAGAGAACATCATGATGCCCCCACCTCCATCGGTCATGAGCTTTTATGCAGACATGCCCCGCGTCAACAAGAGAGCAACCCCTCTTTGCGAGGCCACAGCATCCAATGGTACACTATTCACAAACCATCTTGTCGATTGCGTCTGCGCTACGAACATTCGCCCCTGGTATAATTGTACGGAACATCCGTGGTCAACACCATCCGAGCTGACTCGGTCGGAAACATTTTCGCTTGTCGACTGCTTGAATGACCAATCCTTTGAAGTACAAGTGCAACGAGATCCCAAAGTGTTGCGTCGACCAGAAGTTGTCAAAGCCACATCAAAACAAGAGCAAAAGCCCAACATTTTGTTCTTAGAAGTCGACAGCGTGTCCACAAAATATGCCGATAGACACTTTCCGCATACTCGAGAGGTGCTGAACAGCATGCGACTCCAGCCCAGCAACTCGGATCCAAGTGGCTTTACATGCCACGGCAACGAAACACTGTGCTCAGCCGACTTTAAAGCATTCTCCGTGGTAGGAGCAAGCTCGATCCCCAATCAAATCAGTGCCTTTGGCGGCTGCTTCGTAACTGTTGGACCGGAGCAATGTACCCAACTTGTGACCGATCAAAACCGAACCATTTGCATCAACTCAACACACCTCGTACACAACATGGAGCTGGTGAGCCGCCACAAGAACTCTGCAACGTTTTGCCGCGTGGACCCTAAGAGGAGAAGTCCGTGGATTTTTGATATTGCCAAGCAAGCTGGCTATGTGACCCTGTTTGCCGAGGAATTTTGCTGGCATGGGTCTCGATATGTGCCCCAAGAAAACGTTTTCCCGTTGCATGCGGACATCTCGCCATCTGAATTCTTCTGCCGAGTCACTGAAAGGAGGGCCGTCCGAGAAGGGTTCAAAATCACTGGTCCACTTTGGCGGCACGAGTACAGCCCCAGAACTGGCAAGCCAAATTGCGTTGACAGCATTGGAGGACATGAAAGGGGGCGTGTCGCTTTGGATCACATTGAGACGATGTGGAATTCATACTACGACACTCCCAAGTTTGCCTATTTAAACGCGATCTCTGCTCACCTTTACGACGAATTCAGTGCGTAAGTTCCTCCAGATTGTCCCGTAACGTACAGCTAAAGTCTTTCGTGCAGCTGAGCTGGACTAACCGCTTTCTTTCGCCCGCTTTAGAATGGCCAATCTTGCTGAAGCCTACGATTTGATTCTGTCCTCCTTTTTGAAGCGTTTTCTAGCGCGGAAGGATATGACAAACACCATAATTGTCGTCAGGGCCGACCACGGTCTTCAGGCCGGCCCACAGACGTCTGACTACAGCATTCAAATCGAAGCCTTTCGTCCTTGGACAGAGATCATTGTACCCAAACACATGGCTGGACTCTCGCTCCAGAAACTGTTGGATAACCAAGAAAAGCTGGCAACAAGCTTCGACCTCTACAAAACGTTGACAAGCAGCATAGTTGGCGAAGAGAGTTCTCTGATGCCGGATCCTTCTCCCTGGGAGTATCATTTATGGCAACAATCCATTGAAACGACACGAACGTGTGCCCATGCCCGTGTACCACGAGCTTACTGTATCTTTGAATCGCAGCGTACGATCGCCTCTCCCAATATAAAAACATGCAACATGGCCGAAGATGGCCAGACCATCATGTGCCCTCTTTACACGGACACATTCAGGAAGAACATGACTACTGAAGTTGGGAATTCTTTTTATTCACACCAGGTACGAGCTCATGGAACTCGAACATCCCCGAGACAGTGCACTACGTAGCAATCTCTAACCCGCCCTTTTCATGGATTCGAAATACCCAGGTGAGAACGAAAGCTTGTCCTCGTCAAGGTGCACCGAAAGCAATCAACGGCATTGGAGATGGTTGGAAACTGACCGACCAGGACCAGGTCGATGCGAGTCTTGTCAAACAACGGGAGCCGTTCCATGTATCAGCTCTTACGTCCATCCTATCTGTGCTGGGGGAAGCCCTCCGCAAGGCAGAAGACCGTCCAGTCAAAGTGTGTCAGACTGGTTTTGGCACAGGGTATATGTCAGCAAAGTTCCTGAATGCTTCCACCAACGTAGTCCTGCATGTGTTCGATGGATTTGACCAGAAGCCCCAGAGCTTAGCAATGCTAGCGAAAAAGTATGGAAAGAGCCGAATTATACATCATGAGGGAGATCCATCTGCGACCGTTCCAGAATTGCTATCACCGATTGCCTCCAATGAGGCTCTGCAGGGGAAACTTGGCCTTCAGTGTGACTTTCTGTACGGTGCGAGTAAAGCAGGTGCCAGTGACATCATCGATCTTGTCAAAAACGCCCCATGTGGGGTTTTGCTGGGCGGCAGAGCAGTAAAGAACGTTGACAAGAGCAACGTGTACTTTGGTCCCGCGGGCCAATGGATGACCCTTCGCGTCGAGGGCTGCATCAAGCCAATTCGTTGCTTTTCAAGTCTCACCCCTGTGGAAGCAAAATTGACGAAGAAAATTGGGATGCAACACGGCAAGGAGTTTTGCATTGCCGTTACCACTGGAGCATGCAGTAGCAACGCTGATTATGCTGGTAGTGAACTTCTGCGATCAACGTGCCGGGCCGAGATAGCCCGGTTGACCAAACATGTGGGAATCAACCGCCTTTGTCCTGCGCGACAGCGTGATATAAGGGGAGACTCTTTCTAGATAGGGACTGCATTGCCCGCAATGTTTCATTTGGGGATCTATCTGAGAGCTTACTCTATCCAAACTTTCCAATCATCCATACGGTACCGGTACACTTAGAAGAAGAAATCCTCGGTATCACAGGCTTTCACTGCAGCTTTCAAGTTGGTTTTGAATCTGGATCCTTTCTTGTACTTTGGACTGGCTTTCAGAGTTTGCAAGAGAAAGATGGAAATGCTGGGTCCCAGGCCACCATCGTCATTGTCATCGTTCAGTTCGCCCATTGATTCATTCCCACCAATCATGTCATTGGCATCATCATCGTCAGCATCAAAGCCACCACGGTTCCCTTTCTTTTTCTTGACTTCGTTCTCCAAGAACATCCTAACGTCCGATGGATTGTCAAAGTGCTCCAAAAGCTTGGAGAAGAAAATGGTCAAAAAGATGACGGAAGCTTCCGAAAGCTCATCAGGCGATGACATGTCCAAGGCTTTCAAGACACCCAGTTTGAGTGATGGTTGGATCACCACAAGATGAAAGGCTAGTTTGGCCAAATTGGCAGCTTTGCGAGCAGAGACAGAATCTCCATCATCAAACTGTTTAAACACGTCCCAATATGCCAATTGCATGGAGAATTTGCACTGCGGTTGATACTCGCACATGCGTGCGCCCAAGTGAGCGTAAAAGGGATTGTAGGTTTTTTCATTTCCACAGCATTCCATCAAGACCCGCACAGCATCTCGTTCTTTGCGATTCTTCATGTGCCCGGCACGAGAAAGCTTTTCAAAGGCATCCTCGCAATCGGCACTTTTCATAATGATGCAAAAGATGGCTCGTTTGGCGTCGGTGTTCATCCGCGCTTTGGCTGCGAGCTTGAGGAGTTTGGCATCTTCCTTGTTGTTGTTGGTATCATCGTTAGAACTACTACTACTTTGTTCCTTTGAGCTTCTGCTGGTGTCTGCAGCGCCGCCTTCCTCAAAGCGATACTGATTGCCCACCCACGAAGCTCCTACCTTCCACCAGCGCCCCTTGGTGCTGACATTCAAAATGTCGTCGAGACCGATGCGTAGCGAGTCTGCAGATCTGCTCCCCGACGATGATTTGATTTGTCCCAGCAACTTGCGAAGCTTGGATACCTTTTCCGCATGAGCCACATCCGCCTTTCGCTTTTTATTGTTTTTGAGATCCATCATGGCCGAAATCATGTATTCGACTCGAGACGAGAGGGCGCCACTATCCTTGTTGGTGCCCTTTTGGAGTGCTCGCTTTTGGACAGTCAGAACAATCTCTTTGAGCGCCGTGGGGTCATCGGAGCGTAACGAACGACCACAGTGACTCAATATCAGCAACAGCAATTCCACTTCAATTTCTCGAAAGCTCTCGATAAAGCTTCGAATCACCGAATAGAGAAAGGAGCAGTGTACAATGCCGTAGTTGTAGAGATAGCACAAGACCAAAATGAGATTGGAGGCATCCTTTTGAATGGTATCATCATTTAGCTTTTCAGCTGAGTTGTTGCTGTTTTGAATCTCGTTCCACAAGTCCGTGACGGTGTGTTCCAGCAAGTACTCGCCCACTTGCGCCTTGTCTCCCATTTGGACATGGACGCCGGATAAGCAGGCCACATAGACGGGTATGAGACCCGTCATGAGATGTGGTCGTTCAATGCAGGCAATGCGAAGATTCTTCCAAATGCATTCATTGACAATTGCGGTAGGATACGATGGATACAAGGATGCGGCAATGGCCTGTGCTACGGAAATCAAGGTATTTTCCGAGAGACGGTTGAGTGAATTGTTGAGCAGTCTTTGTACTTCCCTTTGTCTGACTTGATCTGCTTGGTCGTGTTGGGAGGCGTCTTGTTGTTTCTTTCGGAGATGAGGTGGAACGTACTTTTTGGGTGCGGGACCCTGATCCTTCTGGTGGAGAGGATTCCCATAAATGTCTTCTCCCTGAGAAGGCCTGTAAGTGTCTTGAATGTGGTGGTCTGGCTGTTCATCACCATCACTGCTGCCATCTGAATCATCATCTGATGACTGCTGCCTGTTTTCAGGCGCGTTCTGCTCGTCATCTTCATCTTCTTCATCTTCAGTGGAAACTGATTCGCGGCTTTCATGGTTTTGCTGAAGCATTTCCTCTTCCTCTTCAGAGTCCATGCAAGCATCCTTCATGGGAACAATCTCATCATCCTCATCCTCATCCTCATCCTCACTGTCCATCAAAGTGTATTGGAAGTCCACGTTGCCTTCTCCTTCTTCTTCTTCCAACAAGAGTCCATATTTCTGCTGGTAGCTTTCATAGTCTTCTTCTTCTTGTTTGTCATTTACCCGCGCCACAAGTGTGTCGACCGAGTCCAAGAAATCTCCAAAATCATCTCCATAGCCATTCAATTTGGCATATTCCTTGTGCAGTCGCTTCTTTTCTTTACTGCTCGTCAGACCCATTTTCGCCTCCAAGGCAGCAATTTCTTCGTCATCTTTTCGCAGGGCGGCAGCCGTGGCAGAATCCAAATGGGAGTACGGATCATCATCCTGGTTTGCCCGTTTCTTTTTGGGGGCGGATTGGTCAGCCTGAAGCGCCTTCTTTTTGCGTTTCCGCTTACTTTCTTTCCGACTTGATGATGATGAAGATGGCTTCATGGTCTCTTTGCCGATTGACTAGCTAGCTAGAATAAAGAAATGTGTTGGTCGAGGTTGATCCGCAACAAAACAAATCTCCAACTCTGGTCCTCTCGCAAAGACTAGCTAGCTAGACTGCGGTGTCGGATGTGGTGGGAAAGATGAGGAGGTGGAGCGAAAAAATGACTGGAGGAGAAAGAAGCCAATGAAGCCATTAAAGCTGAACCTATCCATCGTTTACACCCCGGCGGGTCAACATAGCTGCCCCGCTACATGTACAGTACCTACAAAATACCGGTACTGGTGGGCGGCAAGATCGTGAAAAGCCGATGAGAGTGCCATCCCGGGCTGAACCTGCGAAGCGACTGTCAGTGCCATGGTAGTACGATTGGGTCACTGATCATGATGGCGCTTGTCGGTTGACCTTGAATGAGTGGCGCATCGCCACTGGCTTCAATCGAAACATCACATCCTTCCGACAGGTTCTGCACAGTTTGACTTCTAGTCCTGGAGATGCCGAGAAAATGGTACAATGCACCTGGGTTGCTTTCGGCCTTATACGAACAAGCTTGCAATGCGGGACAGACCAGAATAAAGCGAGTATGATCCCAGAGTTGGAATTTGTTGACAACAAACTTTTCAAGGGACTCAGAATTGATGGAAATCTCCGGTCCATGCCCATTCCAAACTCCTGCGAGCATTTCTCCGAATAGTTCTTCTCCCACTTTGTCATGGCAAGGGGTACTTTCCAAACAGAGACTAGTGAGGCCGACCCAACCTTGAATCAGCTTGGACAAGATATGTTTGTGGATGTCGAATGGAGGAAGACTGGTGGCTTCTCTCTTTGGTTGGATGTCAAAGGACATCTTAACGTGTTTGACTGATTCGTGGCGGAGCAGCACTGGATTGAATCCAGAATGCTCTTCCAAACCCTTGCAATGGTCATTCATAACCTTTAGATCTTCCAAAGAGATACGTATGGATAGAGTTTCGAGATTGGGACACTGCTCCGCAAGATTGCTTTCGAAGTCACACTGCAGACTTGGTGTCGACTTCGATTTGGGACCATGAACGAGATTTGAGACGGTGAACGAGTGAGGTGGTGAGATGATACTCAAGCGAAAACCACAACTTACCGCATACGTTAACTGGGTAGTATTGCATTCCAAGAGCGTTTGTTTGATAAGGTTGAACTTGAATTCGTCAATGTTGTTTTTTGTGCACTGAATACCCCAAAGTTTCACTTTGTGATTGCAAAGCCACATGACAGCAGGGATTTCCCTTTCCACAAGATCATCAAAGTCCACGAGAACACGAAAGCAAAAGTGGGCCACTAGTCGATCCATTAGTTTCTTCCAGTCAGGACTGACCAAAGCCATGCTGTTGCAAAATTTTGCCAGCGCCATAGGACTTGTTGTTTCGATTCTTGTTCCACCAACAGTAATTTCCTCTTGCGGCCCAACAAATTCCATCACCTGGAACATGCAGATATCTGGTAGGAAGGAGGCCGGGTTGGCTGGGTTAGACTTGGAGGGAACAGAGGCCGCCATTGTGCTATCGTTGGGATAATATATCGTAGGGACTGATGTTTTTATGCAGTCGTCGAGGAAAAGAAAATCTTTGTTTCGGCTGTGGCGAGGAGAGTAGTCGAGTCGGAATTCCTCGATTCTAGTTCCACAGTTAGTTGTCGAACCCCGCAATGAAAACAAACCACGCGGGAGCCAACGGATGATTTGTTTCGCTGAGTTGACTTGGTACCACGAGTAGATAGCTAGTACTGTAGTATGACGGCATTTGTAGTGCCGGTCAACTAAAGCAATACAGTTGATGGGATTTTGGACTGCAACAATGCTCCACAGGAGTATGCTTGTACCGTTCTGGCTATGATAGTAGTACATTGTAGCCTTGTGAAGATTGGTGACCGTCACTCTAATTTTCCTTGGTTATCCGTATTTTGTAACGGCTTGCTTGGATTCTCTTGTCGCCCGGCTCGAATTTTTAAATTCGTTGTTTCAAGGTTAGGTTTACGGTGTAGTTTCAATCCTGGGACCAATCTGAATAACGAGAATTCGAGTGAGTGACAGCTATGACATACTACCGGTACAGTGTAAACTATCCGGGGTAATAGCTTAAGCCTGGCCCCGGCTGGCTTCCGTAGATAATTTCCCTACTCTAATCCCCCCTATCCGGGGTAATAGTGGTTGGGCGGGCCAACATAGCTGTACCGGTACCGGTACCGGTACCGGTACCGGTGCACTCTCCTACATTTCATAACGAATGTACTATTAATAGTACCGGTGCATGTACCGGTACATGGTACCGTGCCGGTGGGTGGAAAGATCGACGCGAAGGCATTCAAATCATGCAATGAGTGCCATACGGTACCGTCACCGCGAGTGGAGGGTCCAGACGCACCGGTAGAGTCTCAGTCAAGCCAGTCTAGAAGTAAAAAGTCACAAGAGATCTCCATGTACCGGTGCCTAGTAGCTAGGTTTGCTCACTCAACATTTGGGGCAAATGCATGCCCTCCACTACCGTACAAGACTTCAAGTGTAGCTCGCTGGCCAATTAGCGAGCTCTAGTAGTAGAGATCTGCAGAGATGCGTTGTGAGCGAAACTGGAGCAGCCGCATATACGCAGTGAAATAATTGAATCTGGAGTGCAATAAATCTCCTTTATGTGCTACTGGTACTAAGCTAGTACTCTGGTAGTAATTGACTGCTCGGTTGCTGCTCGGGTGTGACAGTCTCGGTTCGGTACTAGCTTGTACGTACTAGTACCGTACCAAAGTCTGGTGAGCCATCTCGGCATGCCGTACGTACCACCGGCACGCTGGACCGTCCGACGATTTCACTCAGGCTTTAAACCTTGACACGACTGACTCCAGTACAATTAAGGGCTTGTTTTTATGGGATTGTTTAAGGGCTTGTTGAAGATTGAAGGGTTTGTTTAAGGGCTTGTTTATTTAAAGGCTTGTTTGTTCCTGATAAGCGTTTGTTCTATGGTGTTTACATGAAGGCTTAAGGGCTTGTTTTGTGAACTTAAGGGCTGGTTGTTAAGGGTTTATTATTAAATGGTTTGTTTAAGGGCTTGTTGAAGATATATGGGCTTGAAACAGTCGTGTAAATTTGAAGTTTTTAAAAATCCTGAGTGAAAAACGTCGGACGGTCCTGGTCATGGCCTCGCCTGGCACGGTAGCTAGCTACCAGCGCCTCGAGGTAAAGGCCTCAATTGGTTCTTTATTTGTGTAAAATTCTATTTTTGAAACTTTCCATTTCAAAGGGTTAAGTCATATCAGACAATCATAAGACAAATGGCCTAATCGTCTGACAATTAACTTATAATTGTCTGACAACTGTCTTAAGTCTTAAGACGATTCTTTCAGACGATTCTTTCAGACGATTTTGTCAGACGATTATTGGCGAGTCAGACGATTCTGTCAGACGATTATTGGCGAAGACCCCACCTTGTCAGAGAAACCTATTACTATGTTGAACGCAGTACCGTTTATGACTGAGGCGAATTAGTGATTGTCTGACAAATAAAAAGCGATGGTCATAATAGACTTAGTGATCGTCTGAAGAGGATTTAGCGATTGTCTGACAATCGTCTGATACTTATCTACCAACTGTCTGATTCATGGATGGTTTCTCATCAGATATTTATAAGACAGTTCTCCTTGGAAGACATTTGTGCTCTCACTGAAATCATCAAATTTACTCCCTTTCAATCAAATGGGCTTTTTACCTCCAGGTGCAGTAGCTAGAAGCCAGATCTCTGTGGAGACTCGGCTTGTCACTCGGAGGTGTTGAGTGTTGAAGTGTGTGGAGTGTGGAGGCAGTCTGCCACTGTGAGGCTTAGAGGGAAGAGCACATTTTACGAGTAAACCTTCAAGTTTTATTAATAGCGGTAACCGGTAATCACAAACGTCCATTCGGAAGGTCTCTAACTAAGACATTGAGAGACATCTTTGGTGTGGGCTTTTCAACCGCTGCCGAACCATAAGCCAATGAAAAGAGTGTGATGCCGGGACAGGAACAAAAGCTTCTGAGAGCTTTCTGAGTTCGTCACAACTGTGTTCTTTTTGTCTGAGATTTATTAGATTATTTTTAAAGCCCCTTTCATTACTTAACTAAATTCAACATCCAGCATTATCGTCAGATCAAAGCCCGTAAACACCACCGAACGCCTCGCTGAACGTCACGTTAAAAGTTTCGAGAAGTGGTTGAACTCGTATTGCCCGTTTGGTTCGCCCATCCACAGGCCTTCAACGCAACACAAATTATTAAGTTTTACCGCTTCCGTCTTTTTAATCGTCCAGCAGCTCGTCGGACCAATTGACCATTACCCATTACCTGTACCACCCACGCAGTTTGCTGTTGCAACCAGTTTGTTGTCTGTGTTTGTTTGTTATCCATTGATACCATCCTCGAGTATACCCATTATTATACCCACAATGACATCTACCATGACCAAGTGGTTATCCTCCTTCTTCCTGACTACCACCGACACGAGCGAGGACTCGGAAACGGAGGAGGAGTTTCTTGGCGATTGTTCGATTCGATCCGCGAGCGTCTTGATGAATGGGATTCACGACGACGATTCCCAGATTGTTCACATTCGAAGGATTATCGAAGAAGAAGAAGAAGAGGACGAGTTAGTGGTCGATTTGGAAGCAGTGATGGAAGAAACACCTCACTCGTCGCCAACGGACGACAGACTCGTGGTTAGCATGAACGGCAAGCCACCGACTGTTGAGTCCAGCAAGAAGAAGAACAAGAAGAAGAGGACCACCCAGAAGCAACCCAGCATGGAATACGATATCGAAGCCCACGTCACCACCACCACCACGCAAAAAAGAAGAAGAAGCGTCCATAGCTTGACCGCGGGAGACTGGACTTTGCTAAAGGACAACTACGACAACTTTACTCACGACCTCATGGTTCGCGTGGGAATATGCATCTTTGTCCCCATCGTCGTCATTCGTCCTGATTCTCATCTTGGGTCACTCGAGGGTGATGTGAAGGCCCCCAAAAGCCGATTGGCTTTTTTTTTTTTTCTTTGGCCCCCCGCGGGGGTTTTTAAGTTGACGCGTCAGTTAGGGAGCCCTCTTGAGGGCTCCCTCCAGAACTCTATCTTTCTCTTCCTACCCTCCAATGAAACCATTCCAAGCGACCCATATCTTTACTATCAGGGCAGCCGTTTTAATCGGGTCGCATCTCAGATGACAAAAGGGGAATTTCTTCCTCCTCCCAAGGGACTTCTGCTACAGCTCATTACAAAGCTAGCTTTGTTCAGAAGCCATCGCGGTACTCGTTGTACATGGCGTCTTCTGAACAGTCGGGGCAAGTGTCTTTCTTCCCTTTCCTCTGTACTTTTATCTCTTTAGTCTAGGGAATCCATAACTCATATACATTCATTCTGCATCTATCTGATAAGGAACAAACGATCATCCTGGGTTCTACTGGCTGCGCGGTAGCTAGCTACTGTAATACCTACATCGTATGTACTAGCTAGTAGACCTCGACGAGCCAGCTACAGTCGAAGCGTACGAACATACATTCGTTCGAATCCCGACGAGAGAGATGACGACGACTAGCTAGACTCTAAGCTGCTGAAAATGCACGATCTGTGGATCGAAGCAGACCGGTACCCGCCCGCGTAGCTGCGGTTTGTTGCACTTCGACGTACGGTTCGTTACCTCATTTATTTCCAGATACCGCAGGAGGAGCGATCGGGCAGAAGTCTGCAACGTTCATGCTCAGTGTTGGTTTGCGGGAGCGTTCACCAGTGGACTTCCTGCGGCCAAGCAGCACGTCCACACCGTCATCGTCTCTGGGTCGCTGCCTCACATCAACTATGATAGTAACTGCATCAGGACAACCTTCAACTACTAGCC